ATTGGTTATAGCTTAATTGTCTGTTTGTGTAATATAAATATACCCCCAGTTTCTAGATTCTCCAGAATCCACTATTCATGTTAACCATCATCGCCAAGAATCCGCCAAGTACGTGTTTCGTCTCGAACACTGAAAAAGACGGCTTCTTTTTGTCGCCGGCTAAGAAAGAGGCGGCTTGAGTGAGTATTTATGCTTTCTTCCGTTCGACTGGCACCACTGGGGACTTTTTGGCACCGTTGTGGCGCAAATCGGGTGTTTGTGACACAAACAGCTCGACACACGACATCACACAACGTCATGGGATACCTTGATTTCATCACATAGGTCGATGACACTGCAACTACAGACACTGTCTCGATCACCGACCACGCTTTTCGACGACTGATACCCACAACCAAGCCATGTGACACAAACACGACACTAAGTGACACAAACGCGACACAAAAACGACACAAAAACGACACAAAAACGACACAGGCAAACAACATACTACAGGTATCTATGTTTCCAGCACCTTGATCGCCGTCCAACCAAGTGTCTCAGCTACAAGAGGAGTCCCCCACAGTTGCCATGTCTTCTCCACCACATTTTTCAAATTACTAACATAGATGGGCGTCCTACGATCTAGTTACTACCATAGGTAGCGCTAGTCATAGACGGGTGCTTCCCGAAGAGCTGTGGGCCAAACGATTACGTCTTCCGAGGGTGTCGGATAGGCGACAGGCCATAGTCTCCAGGGGGGCATCTCAATCCCAGGGAGGAATTTACTTTGTTTACAGGGAGGGTGTGCGTTAACCATGCCCAGGTTCCAAGCATGCTATGAACTCAGGGACAGAGTCTCATAGGGAGTGCCCCGGAAAACCCGTGTCTACTGACGATTTTCGTCTTTAGACACGACGCTACAACCCAGTCAGTTTCAAACCTACTTGCAATCACCCTTCGCGTCCCAAGAGGGGAGTCTGATTGCACAGAGACGAAACCAGACTAGCGTCACTCACGTTCTCGGCGGAACCGGTTCGTGAGATTTACTTTTTTACTTGCTATCGATGATAATTTTGGCACTGGTGATGTTGGAGCATAGACGTTGGTGCTCTTGGTGGTGGAAGGTCGGAGTGGATTTGGGGGCTTGTTTGAAAGACAGGAGGTGTGGGGAGAGTGAGGGGTGGTGGTTGGTGGATGGTAGATGAGGGGAGTTGGAAGGGGGTGGTGGATGGCAGATGAGGGGCGGTGGAAGGTGACGAGGGCTGGAAGACGAGGGGAGTTGGAAGGTGAGGAGCAGTGGAAGATGAGGGGTGGTGGGAGGCCGTCGGCCGTGGATTGTGGCTGCTTAGAGTGTGTGACGGAGAAATCCTGAAACCTTCGGGATGTTTCGCCTTCTAATCACATCCGTGTGTGGGGGAGAAAGCACTTGAACCTTCGGGTTGCGTGTCCTTCTCAATCACATCCGTGTGTGAGGGGAAAAGCACTGGAACCCTCGTTCTCAATCACCTCTGGGTGCGAGGGAGAAAGTGCTCGAGTCTTCGGGTTGTGGTCTTCTCAATCTCATCTTCCAGAGGCGGCGGAGGGAATACTGGATAAGGCATTCTAAGGGGATGTTGGGGTTGTGTGGGTGGGATATATAATTAATGTATTAATTGTCTTGAAGCACAAGAGCTGTATGTTTAATAACCCAAATCGTTGCTTTGTATTGTGTAAATGCTACTGTATTTTGTTTTCCAAGTATCAGATGTTGTAATGGTCACAATGCGAAGCAGCTGTGTTTTAGACCTAATGTAAATCATCTACGATCCACATCTAAGACGTATTGACTCTTCGAAAGGCTTATTGACTTGAGTCATACCTGCGGGATGGAAATAGGTAGGGGTCATTTATGGAACAACGGCAAAGAGAGCTGGTGTTGGCATCAAATAATGGGTACACTCAGATACTACCGGATCCTAACGCCACCCTACACCTTTTTCTCCTGTCCGATACTGGGGAACAAGATACAACAGTATTTACTCCCAGACCCTATAACCAGCCTGAATAGTTTTTTCCAAGACAGAGAGACCTCGAAACCACCGATAGTCATATTATGACAACTCGTATATCTGTAGCTGGTGCCAATTTTAACACATCGATCAGTGCCAGGAAGAAAGCTCTGCTATGGCCAATATCTGGGAGCTCCTGCAGCAGATTAAAGCCCTCTGGATGGCGTCGAACTTCGATCTCGTCATGTACCATCTCAGTCGACCTTTCTGGGGGCCGGGATCACTTATTGGTCATAACGAGGTGGATTTCAAATACAGTACTGTACTGTACCTAAGAAAGTTGATTGATATCCGTGTAAGAACTGATCTGACCTGCAGATGTTTTTTGTGTACCTGTGGTAGAAAACTAGTACAAGTACTAGATACTATGAGCTTTGGTAGAATTACAAGTACAAGAATCTCATTGTTTCCTTGATTTTTAGTTTTCACAATGATAAGTCTGCATCTAAAATTTTGACCACATGCTCCTGCAGACCAGGTCGCGTATTTAAAGAGAACAATTCCCTCAATCCCTCAAAAATTACTGCAATTTGATGATTTATTTGACTAAGCTCTCGATAATGCCATTATAGATACAGCAAGTATTATTGTCCAATCATGAGGAATCTAATTCAATCATCAATAGCTCATCGCCCAATTAACAAAGTTTCGACTATATGCACTCCATTGCATTATCTCAACCTTAATATATTGATAGTTGTGACTGTGACATCTATTCAATACAATTAAAAATATATATAGAATAAGGGATTATATCCTGGGAATATACATCGTGTATATTTTATATTTTTTCCTATTACGGTAAAACGACTAACAAAACATACAATTAAGGTGAAGAGCCACAACATTATACCACGTCTGTGTAACATCTCCACCTTACCTTATTCTGAAGATGTTTGTGGCCTTCTATTTTTCTTCCTCATTTCTCCTCACTCTACGACATCAACTACTACCTCATTCACGACACTTCTACGACATTATTATGACACATCTTCTACGACTAATTCAACGGACATCGACTCAATCCTCTTCATTCATTTCAGGTTGGCTTTTGGGTGAGTTTTCACGATCTCTAGCTCTTTGTGTCTGTGTCACTTCAAGTGAGCTGTCAAAGAGACATGTGCTAATTCCACGTAAGCCTTTGAAAACTCTAGAGCGATACTAACACAGCGGGAGGTAGCTTTGGTTCCCCTCCATTTGGCACATAGTGCGGTGGAGGACCCACTCTGTAAGGAGGTTACAGAGCCAGGGCCGGAAAGGAGGTGATGCAGCGTTGGGGTGGTGGAAAGTTCCTCCCAAGGCCCTATAGAGCAGCCTCGTTTCAGTTCCTTGGAGTCTACCACGGATCAAGGTCGTCTCAGCTTCTTCTGGCAGTTTTGAATAGGAAGAAACGTCGTGAGACTCGATTGGGAAGGGGAATCCCCATCCCTCTAGTGTCTCAATTTCCTTTACAGAAGATTGCTCGAGGCGGTGGATTCTGCCAGACCTCCAGAAACCGGAATCTCGCAGAGATGCCACTTTTGTTACCCTTCGACCACGCCCCCCAACCTCACGTGGTCAAGGTCTTACGCTTCTTTCCAGTGATGCAAGTAGGTCTCGGGTGCCCCCCAGTGCTCTTTTTTTCTTTCGGGTGTTGGCTCTATTTGCGGTTTTGGCTTTATTTGCGGTGACGGCTCTTTTTCGGTGACGGCTCTTTTTCAGTGTACAAAACACAATGTCAGTTGTGTGGTGGGGTGTCGGATTAGGGCTCAGTGGATTTTCCACTACTTTTTTTTATTTGCGCGTCAAGCACAACGGGGGACTGGCTGCCCTGATGAGACCAAACCCATGACTAGCGTCGAAACATCAACAGTGGGGGCTGTTGGTGTCGGTAGCCACTAGTCATAAACTTGGACTATTTTCAAAGTACCAGCAGTGGGGACTGTTTGGTACTTTGAAAATAGTCGTACAGTATATATATTAGGGAATTATATAGCAATATAAGATAATTATGGACTATAAAAGTTGAATTTTCCTAGTTTTTTCCCTTAAGATCAGTAATATATTACCGGATCGGGAAATTTTCATTGTTGATATTGAAAAGTTTATATACTCTTTCGTATACCTAAGAAGTGAAGCTACTTGCATTGCATTCCATGACACTTATCTACAATTCAGCACAACTACTTTTACAGAAACACTATAACAGGCGATGATTTGGGTGGGCTTTCATGGGCCATAATATATTAATCCCAGAGGTTCAGCTCACTGCTTACATCCTCTTTTCTATAGACTAAAAGGTTCGGTCTCGTCTACATCCTCGTGTCGAGGTTCGACTGCCTACATCCTTTCTTGGATCAAGAAGATCAACTTCCGACTGCCTTTAGTATGGCTCCTCTGTGGAGCTCTGACTCTTTAGATCTGGCTCGTTGGCTTTGGATCTCTCTGCTCTTATTGGCTCTGGCTCGATTCAGCTCAGGCTCTCATTGGCATAACACCTAGCTCTTATTAGCTCATTGACACTCACTGGCTTATCGTCATGGCTCTGGCTCTTACTGATTGGCTCTGGCCCATGCTCTCAAGGTGCTGGCATTCTGCTCTCACAGTTCACAGTTCCACCTTCGCGCTGCCGTCATCGTTTCACAGTGTCACTCTTGTGCTGGCATAACTTAACGTGTCTCAGTCGCTACAACGTCTCCTTCTCTGGGGGCTGGTGGAATTTCACCATCGTGCAACTCCAGGCGGCTTTTCAGCATTCTCTTAGTGTTTTGTTGTTGGCATTTGTCGGTCGGCGGCTCCAGTTCTGGCTCATTGCGGCTCGGACTGGCTCTTTGCTCTGGCGGTCTGGCAGGTTGGGCACAAACACTTTGCTCGGTGGCGGTCTTTGCAGACGCTTATGCTCAGGCGGAAAAAGCTGGATCAGGTTCGGATCGTGTGTCAGCGGTTCTCTTTACCGTGATTCCTGGTGTGCTGATACCAAGTCAACAGCAGATGGAGGAGACATATGACTGTTCAAACGACAGTCCATCCCTCCAAAGCATTCAGGAGGTATTATCCATACAGGGAGTTGCACCCAAGGGAGCTACCCATACTTTCGGAGAGCTCATGGACGTTTCCGTGTCCGTCACCGCTTCATATCCACGGAGACAGGATTCATGAGGGGCTTGCTAAGTCTCCAACTCGTCATCACCCTGCGTCCTCTTAGTGCATGTACTGAGGGGTTTCCTTTCACTCGGTAGCTTCGTAGTTTGTGCTCAGCTTCACGTTTTAGTTACTCGCTCATGCGTTTTTAATCAGTCTCACCAGTTGCGTCGTAGCAGAGGCTTTGCAGCATCCGTTCAGCAACTTCTGGAATACTGTCTTGCGACAGAACCAGTAGAGCAGACCCCAAAATGTTGTTCATGCTGGGAGTTTCACCCGTGGTTGCGAACCATCTGAGAGAAGGAGCTCCTGAGTAGATAGCGAATCTTTGCTCGTCCTAGCTCCATCCCGTAGATGCATGAAGAGAGGTGTGCTGACTCTCCAACTCGTCAGTTAAGAGAACTCAAGTTGTGTCATGGTAGGGGTGAAGTGAATATCCGCTCGCGCGCCAGTCGAGTACTGATTCATAGCTTTCGCTCAGCGGTGTCTGCATCTCTCGAAGTGATCAAATCCTCTGCAAAAGCTGAGAGACTGATCGACTTCTGATACTGGAAAAACAGGGCGATCAAGGGGCCTTTTATACTGTTGAGGTAGCCTTATTGAGTCTCCATTCGTAATGTCAGAGTTGCATTAGCGGCGAAATTCGTGTCGACCCCTGCATGAGCAAAAGCGAGTGAACATTCTCGAAGAACGGGCGTACAGCAAAGGGAAGTGATATACACGGAGAAATCAATAACCATATCTATTGCATAATTCACAATATTTAACCAATGCAAATATCATAATAACAATCAACCGTTCATGTCCGTACCAGATTTTGGTGGATGTTCATTTTGTCGTATTCGGGTGGAAAATAGAACCTTAACCTTGATTTTGCATATCTAGAGCATTCGAGAACAAATGTAACCAATATGAGAAAACAAATATCAATTTCATTGAGTGTATAGAATCGATTGATAAATTATTTTTATGACCAAGAAGTTCTCAAGATTTCTGCAGGTATTGCGGTGTTTTCTTGCCATCTAATGACCCGTATTGTTCTCATCTGCCTTAGCAACTCCATCTTTCAAACTGTTTGAATGTGACAGAACTTCAATAAAAATAAATAAAAGAGAAAATTGGGGAAATAGAGGAATTATCCAAAGAATGATTCTAATTAAGCCCCGACTGGATCAAACTCGTCGTCGGTTAAGTGAGTGGACATGTTGCTATGTTGCATATACCAAGGAGGGAGTAGTACGAGTACGAGTAGGAAAAAGGACAATATGTACTGTATGTTCTACACTGGACCGAGTTGTACTTAGTAAGGGTGAGGGGAAAGGCCAAATTTCAAAGACTTTGTTGTGAAATAAATTCATTATTTGTCATGGAATATGCTCAACATTCGTCCTAGTACAACTCATTTCATTAGTCTCTGTCGTGAAGCGTTCGAGGCAGCTTGACTCTGCCAAGTCTAGACTTCAAGTTCTTTCGCTGCAACAATGATCATCTCTGAGATGAATGAAACGTCAGTATGACAGTTTATTATTTTAACATACGAGGATGAAGTACTGTATGTACTTTTGGACGTACCATGTACTTATAATGAGAAATTATGTCAGCATAGCTCAGACACTGAAGTTGAGAAAAACAGGACAATAAGATATAGTTACATCATATATATTCTCATAGAATAATGTCTCAAAAGGGGCCCTTGAATTTCAGTATTGGTTTGCTTGTATGACTGACGAGTTTAGGACAGATGCTACAATTTCCGTTGTTGAAATTATTATGTGTTTTGCACACATGGGTTATATTTCTTGCTTTGATTCTGTGTGTGTGTTCTAGAGTCGTTAATATGGTCGCCCATGGCTCATTGAGTACAATTACCCGTACTCAGTCCCATAAATCTCAACAGTCTTTTTTTATCGCAACTAACCCATTCGATGGTTTACTTCCTCCAAAGTGGTGGACTCTCTGTGGCTGTTCGCGCCCCAGCCCAGAGTCAACAGGAGGTGATGCAGTCTTGGATAATAGAAAATTGACTCCAATACTTCTCCTGGGAGACCTTCCATTGATTACTCTGATTGTCTCGACCTTTTGAAGAAGTCTTTTTATTGCTTATTATTTTGTAACACATTCCACCTCCCCATTTTTGAGACAGTGTACATTGTCAGTCGCTTGGACCCGCACTGCCCAGTGGTCGCACACCTCTACAAGTAGCCTATATCTTCCATACATGATCTAGGTTAAACGCTTCTTTTCAAGTAATTGGATGATCACCGGTTCTGGGAACTTTTTTTCTTCATTCTTGAGAACTCTGTTCTTTAATTTTGTTTTCTTTTTCTTCGGCATTCAGTGCCTCGGCATTCTTTTCTTCGGGCGTGTGGACTCATTTTTTTACATCTCCTGTTTAGTTTCCACTGGGCTCTCCATATGAACAGAGCAATGGCATCCCTGATGAGTCCAGCACAGTACCGTTAAAACACCAATAGTGGGGGCGTACATCACAAGAGCCATGATGATATTCAATTGTACCAGTACCTCTCTAGAGAGTGTCTCTCTGTTGCTATTTACAGCTACGTGCACACGCATTGCGTACAGTAAAGTAAGTACTGCACTTATGTACATTATACTGAACAAATCTCGCATCATCCAAGTACAGTGTACACTACAGCATGTTCCTAGCTGGAATGGAAATCGTCATGTGCAGCATATTGTATTGCAATTGAACAATTTTGACCTTTTACAATTTCATGGATTTCCGAAAGATACTTCAAATACTAGCAGCCTCGCACGTTTACTTCTGCTGATGATCTAATAGCCAGATCTTGTCCGTTTCATTGCTTCACTATCATCCAGTTTGGTCACATTTCACTCTACCCCGCCGCTCCATGCCACGATCTAACAATAGAACCAATATGACAAGGAGGCGCACTGAGAAGTAAATGAACAGAATGTGGATGGGTTCTCGATACGGAAATATTTCGGAGTGCATGTGGGTACAGGAAGTTGCAGCGCGGTTGCAGTGCACAAGCTGACTGGTTAACGGTTAACAGGGACAAGGGCCGAATAACAATACAAACAACGAAGGGAATTATTAAGAACATGTCATCTCAAAATATTGGTGACTGGTGACACTGCAAGCTCTTGTTTCAACCACAAGACGGCTTGATGCCAGAATGAAACACGGTGTCTCATTTGTCCGAAGGGTTCTTTATCTGAGAAGAGAGCTTGTAATATGATGAGGTTCTGTTTTTGACACGCCATATCCGATCTCTATAGGACTCCCCAAAGGGTATGTTCCTGTAGCTGAACAAAACCACGTAGGAACCGTGTCGAGCATAACGGAGGATTTGAGAATTCGGAAAACGAAGCAGAAAAGACCCAAAATGGGGGGCATATCACGGGTTCAAATTTCGCGTAATTTGGCCCCAATATGTCCGAGAGTCTCTTCGTCTCGGGATAACAATGGATCGTGGCTCTATTGTGTCTCAAATAAGTAATTTTGCATCCTGCATATATGAACTCAAATATGAGGGAGCATGTCCACCAGGTTTAGGCAGGTTATGGAGACAAGTTGTACAATTGCTCATCAATTTAGAGAGAAATCAATTGTCAACAAGTTGAACTGATGCTTCTATTTCACTAATGATGTCGGATTCAGTGTTGTGAGACTATTACAAGTGCGACTATGATGTACTGTTCTCTCGTCAAGAGCAAATCAATGTGTCTAAAATTGACTCTGCATCTTGGCTTTTCCAACCAGTCAATTGCCCAACTCTATAACACGATACTCATCGGATACTGTATAACTTTGCCCATACGAGTGTAGCGGGTATCTAGAAGGATATCGATGGATATTTATGAGCAGGCAACCTGTTGTCTTCAACTACTTTTTCTGTGCACTTTCAAGACATTTACCAGCTGACTAACTTCTCAATACACCCACTGACTGCGGCTCCCAAATACAAGATCATCCGTTGTCCAATGCCTCATACGCTTGTTCAAAATAAATTATACATGCGTGGTTTGTGGCATGGAACCTCATTGCTGTGGATTTCCAACTGAGGGGGGCCCCAATATATAAATACAACTGTTTCTGTGGTGATGTGGTCCGGTACAACTCAGCACTTTCGTTTTACAACTCCAACGACATGAAACCATTCTACCTGTTGGCACTGCAGGCACTTTTAGTGGTTGCCAAGGAGGTCGCATCGCCTCTGACCTCTCTTGATGTCCACACTCTGGCTGATAACTCCAAGGAGGGCAAGTTCTCTGCCCAGTGGATCTGGGACTTGGACTTTGAGCTCAATCCTACTGCTGACGATATCCAGTCTGGCGACTACTTCACTTTTACTGTTGACAACCGGGCTAGTGTTCCGTCCCATGACTTCACAGTCAAGGACCAGAACGGAAACGACATCATGCAAATCAAGAATTCTGGAAACACTTTTACTGCCACCTACACTGACTCAGTTCAGGGAAAGACTGACCTTTCTGGAGACATTTCTTTCGAGGCTCCGTTCGACAAGTCCAAGCTTGGCGAGACGGCTGAGACCATCATTGTTACTGTCGAGTCTGGCTCGCAGACTCTCTCTGATACTATTACCATCGATCCCAGCATAGAGGTTTCCGAGGCCCATGTATTTGGACAGCGAAAGGACGACATGTTTGCATGGACTGTCAGATTTCCCCAGACCCCTTGGGACCGAATTCAGTTCACAGTTACAATTCCTGATGGAAACTCCGCCTTCAAGAGCGTCAAGGATATCAAGGATAACATGGTGCTGGAGCTGCTTCACGACGTTGATGAGTTTGGAAATCCTTCTGGTGTGACCCCCATCAACCCCTATGAAAACAGTGACTACACCTCTGTTACCAAGGCGGATCCTACTTCATTCACTGGTCGACTTTTCAACCTCCCCAAAAACCATCCACAGGGCGAGTACAACGTAGACATGTCCTTTGTTTCTCATATCGAGAAAATTGCTGAGGTTTACCATCTGGAAGTTGAATGGACACTGTGGTACCATGCTAACCCCAACGAAGATACTCGATGGACAACCCCCGGGGACAGAACCGGTACTGCTGCCGGAGCTGCCGCCTACATTTGTGACGCCTGCCCACCCGAGGGCGGAGGATCTGCTTCTGTAACCGAGTGTAAGTATTTCGAATTCCGACACAAACACGTGTCGAGCAGTGTTACAAACTCATTGAACGCCGTGGTTCCTTTTACTTCAATTTGACTGCTAAATGGGACTACAATTCAAAGAGATGCATCACCTAAACCGTCCTCTTCTCATAACTAACATAGCGATTCCCTCTTCTACTGAACCCATCACTACCCCCGAGGAGCAGATCACTCCTTCTTCTACAGAGCCTTCGACCACTGAAGATCCAACAACAACTCCTGAGTCGTCCACGATTCCCTCTACCTCTGAGGAGCCCACCAGCACCCCTGAGTCCACCATTGAGCCTTCTTCCACTCCTGAGACTACAGAGCCTTCCTCAACTGAGTCCTCTTCTACTCCTGTGACTACAGAGCCTTCCTCTACTGAGCCTTCCTCTACTGAGCCCTCTTCCACTCCTGAGTCAACTACAGCTCCTTCAACCACCGACGATGTCACCACCACTGACGATGTCACCACCAAACCTGAGTCCACCACTGAGAAACCAACTACTGATCTCTCTTCTTCTCCTGTGACTACAGAGCCTTCCTCTACTGAGTCCTCTCCCATTCCTGAGACAACAGAGCCTTCCACCACCCTCGATGTCACCACCACAAATGAGTCCACCACCCCTAAGTCTACCACTGAGAAACCAACTACTGATCCCTCTTCTTCTCCTGAGACGACAGAGCCTTCCTCTACTGAGCCCTCTTCCACTCCTGAGACTACAGAGCCATCCTCCACTGAGCCCTCTTCTCCTGAGACAACAGAGCCTTCCTCTACTGAGCCCTCTTCTACTCCCGAGCCCACCACTGAGCAGCTGACAACTGAGCCCTCAACCACCGAGACAACCACAACTCCTGAGAAACAAACCACTCCACCCTCTTCTACCCCTCAGACAACAGACCCTTGTGCGACCACCTCGGTTATTACCTCCACTCCTCCCGTTGGACCTCCCATCACCACTACTGTCACCACAAATACTTGTTCTTCGTCTGTCCCTGAGACTTCGATCCCAATCACTTCAGAGACTTTCACGACAGAGACTCCTTCGACCTCTGAGCCCATCACCACTGATACAGTCACTTCTACTGACCCCTGCGAGTCTGTCACTACAATTGTGAGCACACCTCCCTCAGGAGAGCCTTCCACTTACACCATCACCACTGACATTTGCACTTCCAAGCCTGTGACTCCCATGACCTCTGTGCCGCAGACTGAGCTCCCCCAGACTTCCGATCCCATTTCGGAGCCTTCCACGCTCAGCACAACTCCTGGACCTAGTTCCACTGTGTGTGTGACCACTTTGACCACCACTGATCCTGATGGAAACCCTTCTACCACCACAGTGACCACAGATTACTGTCCTCATGGCCCTACAACTTACACTACAACTGTGACTGTATGTGAGGAAGAATGCACCACTATCCCTATCACTCTCACCACCCACGTGCCTCCCAATCCCTCGTCCACCACAGTCATCACCACCATCTCTTCCAAGACCATCACTCTGACTGTTCCTTGTGACCCTGAAGAGACCCCTCAGCCTCAGAAGTCTACACCTACACCTGAGATCCCTCAGATAACTACTCCTACATCCGAGATCCCTGAGAAGTCCAGTCCTGTACCCGAGGTTCCTGGCAAGCCTACACTGACCAGACCTCTCTTCCCTGTCTACCCTATCATCACCATTCCCGTGATCAAGACCGAGACCGTTACTATTTGCGAGGAGGAAGTGTGTAAGACTGTGGTGACTACCACTACCGTTTGTGAAGACTGCACTACTCCTGAGGTTCCTGGGCCCAAACCCACTCCTGAGGTTCCTGAGCCCAAGCCCACTCCTGAGGTTCCTGGGCCCAAGCCCACTCCTGAAGTTCCTGAGCCCAAACCCATTCCTGAGGTTCCTGTGATCCCTGCCGAGCCTGTCGAACCCACTCCTGAGCAGCCCAAGCCTACCCCTGAGGTTCCAGCGATCCCTGTGCAGCCCACTCCTGAGCAACCAGAGGTTCCTGTTGCTACCGAGGATCCCGAGGAGCCCAAGGAGCCCCAGACCCCTAATGAACCTGTTCCTGAGGTCCCTGTGGAGAACATTCCTGAGGTTCCCTCTAGACCTGAGGTTCCTGAGTTTCCTTCAGAGCCTGTCAAACCTATTGAATCTGTTGTGCCCACCCCTGAGGTTCCCCAGCAGCCTGTTGAGTCTGCTCCTCAACATACACCCGAGCAGGCCAACTCTGCTTCTTCAACCAGGTTCTCCATTGCCCTTTTCATGGTCCCCTTTGTCGCTCTCGTTGTCTAGGAGTCTTTTATAGATTATAACGTGTTTTATCGAGTACATCGGTTGTAGACTTGATGAAAGCGAGTTTCGGTGTAATATAATTCAGCCTGTGAGATGTATTTTTTATCTTTTTGATGTACTTTGTTATAACCGCCCATTTCTTGATTTGTTTCATTCGCAGTTTTGTCGGGAACCAAACCAGTTCATAGACATCTGTCCTGCGCTTGTTGAAACAAGAAGAAGACAAACCTGATTGTTCGAGTCTTTGAAACATTACGATGTCCTTTTCCTGTTGATTCTACTCATTTTAATGGCTATGTTCAATTGGATTAAGATACTATTTGCAAATAAAAGTTAGATCAAAATTAGTTTGAAATTAAACAATAATCAAATCAAAATCAAATCAAATCAAAATCAAATCAAAATCAAATCAAAATCAAATCAAAATCAAATCAAAAATTAAATAATAAAAAAAACTGACAAAGCAGCTACTAGAAAAATACCAAAGCCCTGCTATTCATTGTTTTAGCCAATATATCGACAAATACCTACCAGATAAAACGATTGATTATGTCTAGATGTACTGTTTTATGACTTTCCCTGTTTCCGGTTTTGCAAGTATTACCTGTACAGATACCGTGCGACAGTTGTATTTTTCTCAATAATTGAACTAAAAAAATAAAAGAAAAATAAGACCAAGCATTTCAACAGGTATTTATAACGTGGATGTTTTTCTCACGTGTCCACTATTTTTTATCCACGATCAACATTCTCTGCTCTCTTCCTCGGTCACCCCGGTTACAGTTCTCGTGCTTATTCAGCAAATTAACTTTGGAATCATGTCGTCGACAAGGGCGCATAACGCAACGTACCTCCAGTGTTCGTCGACCAAGCCAACACACGCACTTTGCACCGCACAGCTCCGTTCGCTGTATACTAACACAACCACAAGCCCACAGTCGGATTCACCAAACACATATCAACAATGTCGCATGCTTTGAACGATGATCAGGTGAGTAGAGTGGAAGGAGAAGGGCATGACAAACCGACAGCCAACACAATCAGGGATGGACATGTTGCCCACGAGTGACACAAACACGGACGTGGGGAGGAGACACAGATTCTGGTATTCAAATGACGCAATTGAAAGGATTGACTTGGTGGTTGATTGACTGGCGTACTAGACATGTGACAATTCATGTGCCGCATGTCTTGTGTACATTTTTGTCACATGACAACGACACATGTTGGAAAGATGCCAAAGTTGTTCGGGTGACCTCAGTGATATGCCATCTTCGTCTACCAACTACTGTTGTGTTCTCCTACTACGTCTGGGGTGTTTCAGACTTGTGCAGTATATGGTGTCTATGGAAACATCTATTTGTGTCTTCTGTTTGTAGCCTCTGTTTGTGGCCTCTGTTTGTGGCCTCTGTTTGTGTCTTCTGTTTGTGGCCTCTGATTGTGGCCTCTGTTTGTGGCCTCTGTTGTGCCTGTCAGTCGTCATATGTGGAAGCCCCCCGCCCGTGAATGATTGCCACGGATTGGTTCTGCCCGCACCATACTAACCCAGGTTGCCGGAGAGCTCCGGAAGATGGTCGACTTCATCCAAAAAGAAGCCGAGGAGAAGGCCAAGGAAATCGAGCTGAAGGCCAACGAGGAGTACGAGATTGAAAAGGCCAACATCGTGCGAGCTGAGAGCTCCAACATCGACACCCAGTACGCCGTCAAGGCTAAGCAGGAGTCTCTGTCGCAGCAGATCACCAAGTCTACCATCAACAACAAGGCTCGTCTCCGAGTCCTTGGCGCCCGACAGGAGGTTCTGGATCAGTACTACGAGGCTGCGGGCAAGCAGCTCAAGGACGCCTCCAAGGACAAGTCTAAGTACACCACTGTCCTGCAGGGTCTTATTACCGAGGGAGCCTACACTCTCCTGGAGCCTGTCATTTACGTCCGAGCCCGAAAGGCCGATCAGGATATCGCCAAGGGCACTTTTGATGCTGTTTCCAAGGCCTACGAGAAGGAGACTGGCTCCAAGGTCGAGGTTAAGCTTGACGACGAGGTTCTCCCCGCCGAGTCTTCTGGAGGAGTCATTGTGTTCAACGGTACCAAGAAGATTTCCGTCGACAACACCCTTGAGGAGCGACTCAAGCTTCTGTTTATTGAGAAGCTTCCTGCCATCAGAACCGACATTTTCGGACCTTCCCCCACCAGAAAGTTTTTTGATTAAGTGGAATGACGAGGCTTATCGGATGGTTTTAGAGCAGCCAGTTACAACGTACTGGTTTTGGTGCAGCCAAGGCTGGTAGCAGTTGTCTCAGGTTCATCAATAGTTTAACAGTATTTGTAGTATGGGCTGTGTGTGTAGTTGGATAGTTGGAGTAGTCCGGGGTCTGTTACTGTCAGGTTCTTTCATTTCCTCACATCGCATATACATGTGCTATGCTGTCTCTCACCTATTTCCACCTCCTCCATAACGTCAATTCTCTCATAATTCATTCAGTATAAATATATATATCATCTCTAATAATTCTAATTACATGTCTCAGCTATTGCTGAGACTCCTACTAACGTCTCTTGTTCGTCAGTTACCAGTGTGATGAACTGGTGTTGTCTCTCTTTCTCTTAGAGTCTCTTTCGGATGTACTCCAGAACAGAGAAGAAAATGGCTCCGTTAATGGCGGTTCGGATGCACGAGATTCCGAGACCCTTGTAGAGCCGTCGCTGGAACAGGTCTCGAATTCTGTTGATCTTGACCGCGTCCTTGTTCAGGTCCAACTTCACTCCGTACTTGTGGGCCATGGCAGCAGCCACAACATTTTTCTGGTAGACAGACTTGAGAGTATCGAGGGGGAAGATAATAGTCCAAGACACGATACCGGCGCAGGCTCCGGCAAAGGCAACGGCGACGTTCTGCATGGTTTCCGACTGCTTTCCAAACATCTTTTGGGCCACCACAATCTTGGCAATCTCGTAGGTGGTGAAGTAGAAGCCTGTGGAAATGGAGTCTCGCAGAAGATGGTACTTGTATCCAGAGTAGAGTCCTCGCACTCCGGCACGTTGCAGAATCTCCTTTCCGGTTTCCATGACCGAATGGGGCTTGAACCCGTCCAGCTGGTTGATGTGGCCTCCCTTGTTTTCGGCCGCGGCTTGCAGCTGTCGGGCAACCAGTCCCTCAATCTGTGAGCTGAGCTTGGTGAACTCGAACGGGGCACTAATCAAAGTGCTACTGGCTCCAGCAATGGCTCCAGGTACCAGGTACAGCAGTGTCATCTTGAAAGACTGCAGCAGGAAATGGTCCAGGTGGTCACCGACCATGACGTGCTCAGGGTCGTGCAAAACCGGCGGCAGTTGAAAGTGCACCGACCAGAAGTCCCGCGAAAAGGGCACCGTAGCAGCGTATACAGAAGCACCAATGGTTCGCACCACACTGGTGGAAATCAGAGGAGCCCAGATACCTCGGTAGAATCCCTTGATACCCTCATGGCGATACGTGTCGTAAATGACATGCAACGTACCTCGGTAGTTGTATGTTTGCTGCCGGGTTTTAATGGAGTCGAGCGGGAAAGTCGATGTCGTGGAAATGAGAGAAGCGATAGTCGCACCCACGGAGGTCCGGTACTTGTGGATGGTGTCGTTCTTCTTCAGCTTATTGAGAAAAGCAAAGGTATCGGGGAAGTTGTACAGCGTGGGCGGCGCGGCCAGCTGGCCCTGGGGCATTTTCAGCGACATTTTCGTGGCTCTCCAGTCGAGTTGAAGATGGTCAGAAGTAAATGTGAAATTTGCCGAGCACGTCCCGAAACTTTATTTGGATGTTGGGCTGGATATAGAAGCATCGCAAGTAGATGTAGCCACATCTAGACACTATATGAAGATAACTACTTGTCTAACCATTCTATTCCGATTGATAGCTTTCTGATGGACTCGATATTCACTATTGCAGAGGACATCAAAAAATCTATGACTCTTGTGAAATGGAAGTTTATTTTTGGCTCGGTACACATTCACGTTAAGACGTGTTATCCAGGTGTTGTCCAGGAGTTGGGAGGTGACATTATATATTTTTAGATACCCAGATTCCCAGAAAATACAACTATCAACTCCCTTTCGTTCCTAACACCAATATTTGCTCTCCTAGAAGCCATTGTCGAAATGCGGCTTTAAACCTTATATCGGGAAAAATATGCGAAATCGGGCTACTCAACGGAGTAGCGGGAAATTGGTGTTTTGCACTAAAATGAGCGGTCCAACGGTTTCTGTTGGACGCCATGTGTGTCACAGGTTGTGTGTGAAACCAACAACTAACATGGTTGGCTTCACGGGCCGGTTTCTCGGATTTCTCGGAAGATACCGGAGTGCATGTTGATGGTAAGAGATTGCGAGTATGGTGGAGGGGGGATGGTGATCTATCACGTGATATCTGCAAAGTGAGACATCCGAGACCCAATTGTCACCAAATAAGCTGCTATGAGACTCGTATATTAACGTGCCGCGTGCTTTTACGCCGTTGAACAGTGAGTGGATAGAGTTGCATAGATAACTGAGCCCACTTCTTTTTTCAGCTTCTTTTATCGGGGTGGAGACGAGACCAAAGCAGGTACCGTTGGATGTCAGAATGATCGGCTAACCGCCTTGTCATCATCCGGGACTTGTTTCTTCCCGCACAAGACCACTCTCATCATATTTCTCGATGAATGCGTGTGTTTATAACCTACTGAGAGACATTCAACTCGCTTAAAAATAGCGAGCGAAGGATTATGTTATCGATAAAATCAGTCTAATCGGTGGAATTCGAAACCGCCGCGTGTCGTCGGACGGGACTATAGATCATGTCCCTCTTGCTGCGAGTTGAAAACCACCGTTATTCCTTTCGCAATGACGTCACAATACACCCACGAACACGTTTTTCAAGTGTAGTGTCTCGTTGTACTGAGCCCATTCACGTCGCTCCGGTCCCCTGACGTCACAACGTTGGTAGTACGTCTCAAACGTGGTGCTCGAGTTTAGTCAGGATTGGCCGGGTGCAGGATGTAGATCCTTTCCTTTTTTGTCAACGGCAGTGTAGTGAGCCGGATATTGGTGATAGGAGAAAACCGAATACATCCCGAGCAACAGCACGACGAGGCGATTCCGATGGTACTACTTTCGTCTCATTCGAGAGACAATTGCAAAAGTTGGCCCTCCTACACGTTTCTGGATGTGCTGTCCTCAACGAAGTCTAACTTGGCGATGGAGAGACGAAGCAGGGCAAGATGCTCATGTGGCTGGGACTGTGGCCAATAGACACGGTCTGGACGGTGTCTCAAGTCACAACTAGTAGGTCACGTTCCATGGATGTGTAAGCAGGTGGCTCCGTTTGTGTCTTTGTGTTTTTCCCCTCCTTTTTGGACCATTTGTCAGCATGTTGCGTAGGTCTGGGTGTTTGACTGTTCAGGTGGTGGATGACGGATGCATCATCTGACGGCAGAGTGGGTACCTGGCAGTGGCAGGCTCGCAGACGAGGTAGAGAGATTCTGAAAGGAGCCATTGACAGATGGAGAATTGGATACTCCTGGTATGTCCTCCGTTTCCACTTTTGACGTTGGTGACGTGCTCTGGAACGACTTTTTTCTTTTTCTTTAAAACAAAAAAAAGAAAGAAAAAAAAAACATTTACTACTACCAGTAGTACACCTCAACATTGGGTCCAGAACGTCCCAACTGCATGAGTCACTGGAGTCATGCCGAGGTCGCTAAGGTGCTGTAAAATACAACGTCAATTGAGAGAGACACAGGCGCAGCGCGCCGAGGGAGAAACGAGGCATTTATCTTCTGACCCTCCTTTTTACTCGTAATCTGTATCCCGGAACCGCGTCGCATCCATGTTAATTAAATCAACACTTACACTTGCTTGCTTCGTATGATGAAGATTTCTGACTGGCAACCCAGTCAGCAGCAGATTGGGGCAGATGTAGTAATGAAAAACACTGCAAGGTGTGACGTTTGAGACACTCCAATTGGTTAGAAAGCGACAAAGAAGACGTCGGAAAAATACCGGAAAAATCGAGTCTTTTTCTTTCTGCGTATTGGGCCCTTCTGCCTCCTTTGCCGCCCTTTCCACGCTCTTCTCACACCCTCACACTCCCTGAGCACTATGATCTCATTGCGCAATAAGATATACATGCACGTGCATTTGGTGAGCACGCAGAACCTTGTTGGGGGAAGATGCCCTAACCCTAAGGGCGTTCCATACGGTTCGACAGAGTAACCTTGCTGTCGATTATAACGCATATATAGCCCCCCCCTTCGGACCCTCCTTCTGATTTCTGTTTCTGTATCAACATTACACACAAACACACAATGTCTTCCAACTCTCTTGAACAGCTTAAGGCCGCCGGCACCACCGTTGTCACCGACACTGGTGAATTCGAGTGTGAGTATTTGATCCTGACGGGGACGCAATTGACAGATGTTACAATGGTTGGTCATGTCACGACATGGTAATGTGGCGCGCACAGCATTGATAGGCTGGCAGGGCAAGTGGCAATTGACTCAATTGGGTCTGTGTTACCCAGTAACGCATGCCTTGCTCTTTTTCGGATTGCTCTGTCCGCTGCTACCGGTGCCTCCATTGCAGTTGTACGAGTTTGCCTCTGAACACAATCTAACCCAGCCATCGCCAAGTACAAGCCCCAGGACGCCACCACCAACCCCTCTCTGATCCTGGCCGCTTCCAAGAAGCCCGAGTACGCCAAGCTCATTGACGAGGCCGTTTCTTTCGCCAAGACCAAGTCCTCCGACCCCAAGGAGCAGGTCAACATTGCTCTGGACCAGCTGCTCATCGAGTTCGGCTCCGAGATTCTCAAGATTGTCCCCGGTCGAGTCTCCACCGAGGTCGACGCCCGACTCTCTTTCGACAAGGACGCCACCATCAAGAAGGCTCTGCAGCTCATTGACCTCTACAAGGCCAAGGGCATTTCTTCTGACCGAATCCTCATCAAGATCGCCTCCACCTATGAGGGTATCCAGGCTGCCAAGGAGCTCGAGTCCAAGCACGGTATCCACTGTAACCTGACTCTTCTCTTCTCCTTCGTCCAGGCCGTTGCCTGTGCTGAGGCCAAGGTCACCCTCATCTCTCCCTTTGTTGGCCGAATCCTCGACTGGCACAAGGCCGCCACCGGCAAGACCTACGACGCTGCCGAGGACCCCGGTGTCATCTCCGTCAAGAACATTTTCGACTACTACAAGAAGTTCGACTACAAGACCATTGTCATGGGTGCTTCTTTCCGAAACACCGGTGAGATCAAGGAGCTTGCTGGCTGTGACTTCCTGACCATCTCCCCCGGTCTGCTTGAGGAGCTGCTCAACTCCACCGACCCCGTCCCCCAGAAGCTGTTCGCCGACAAGGCCAAGTCTCTGGACATTGAGAAGAAGGCCTACCTCGACGAGGAGCCCATCTTCCGACGAGACTTTAACGAGGACCAGATGGCCACCGAGAAGCTCTCCGACGGTATCCGAAAGTTCGCTGCTGACGCCGTCACCCTTTCCAAGCTCATTGAGACCAAGCTCTCCGCTTAGGCGTCTCTTTGGTTACTTTTATTTATGTATCCTAACAAGATAGATTGTTGATTTGAATTGTGAATTGTGAATTGTACTTGAACTGTACATACTGTACTATAGTAGAAATCGGCTTTTGACTTGATTGCTGTGAGAGATATAAAATAAACTTGAGGTTTGTCGTATATGAAGTCAATTGATCAGCTGTAATGTTGTCTCGGAATGACGAATGCACGTCTCTCAAATGTTTGGGCACCGAGATTTCTGTGTGCTCGGCCCGAATCACAGTGGTTCTTGCTCATTCTTTTGTCCTTGTGACATTCTCAGGCGGTCCTGTTGTGTATCGCCATTGTACAAGTACTTGTACATAATACAGGCACAAGATGCACTACTTGTAGTACAAGATCCACATACCTGCATGGGCGGTTCGGAACATCCATTTACAGCCATGCGCTCGTGTATCGCGGACCGGTTGCTAGTTAGGGAGGCCTCAGAGGTGGTTTCGTCTCGGTTCGGGGTTCCGAACCGCGTCCAGAACGTTGAATGGTATTCTGAGTCTCCATTTGGTGTGTTATGATCTGTATTCCAAGCTATAGTAAAATAGAAGCTACTGTATGTACTGTTAAAGTACAGCCTTCAGCAAGACAGATGCAGAAACACTCATTACTGTACATACTGTATAACCGGGCACGACAGCTATTTGATAGAGAGGCAAAAATGCAAAAAGATGGCGACATCCGCAGGATTCGAACCTACGCGGGGAAACCCCAAGAGATTTCTAATCTCTCGCCTTAACCGCTCGGCCAGGATGCCATTTTAGGACAAAATTTTTTTTTGTTTAGGCCACTGACATGTGTCTTCCGATGACTAATCTTAGAAACTGAAATAAAAGAATATCCCGGCTTACTATAACGTAGATGTATAGCTGTAAAGAATCATTAGAATTAGAAAAAATTAAATAATGTATTTCCCTAGAATGAAAAAATAAAAAAATAAAAAAATAAAAATAAAAAATAAAAATATTGGAACAAAAACGAAGAATCCATTGATGCTTACTAGATGCACACTAATTTGTAGTTATTTAGTATCCCTTAGGGCGTCGAATGACACAATACACAACATGCATTGTCTGATCGTCTTAATGTGTCACCAGAATTGAAGATTCTGGGCGTAAGACCTGAAACACGATTCTACATATTTCGATGTATATTGAGTGGTCAGACTAGTCTTGTCTTGATAATTATTGTCTCAGCACCTGATCGTACTATCCATGGAAAAGCAAGAGTGATAGCGGGAGGTGAACTAGATATCCATGGAAAAGCAAGAGTGATAGCGGGAGCCAGAACGAGTTATCAGGGTTTAGACACAAGAAAATTGATCTAATAGGGTGTATATCAAGTGATGACCAATATGAACCTCCAGTACAGAGCTGTGATACCTGTACTGTACATGTACTGTATGTACTATACTCGTACTGTATTACTGCTCTTACCGGTTTCCAATGATACCCAAGACCTAGTAGCAGGCCACACCAACCTCACGAACCCCACAAACCCCTGAAGTGTTTCACAAATGCCTTAGAACGCAGTCGAATGGGGCAAATCTGACCTTGGTTCTCAACTGGGCGCTACGATATGGAGGACCAATGCATGGTTGAAGCACCAGTTTTGTCAGCAAGTCATCGTCAGTTTTGGGTTTGGTGTGGCAGAGAGGAATCACGACCTAAACAGCCAAGTAAGAGTGCAGTCAGAGAAATAATAGAGGCCCTGCTATTGTAAATACCGGTGAAACAACTTTTATTTCACGCGATCCAAAAATGTCTTTGAACAAGTCACAATGACCCGTTATTTCTACCTATCATTCTGCATCACTTTAGAAGTAAAACCTTAAATACAAACGTTATGCATACTCAAAACCTAAATACGAAACTCAATATCTCCACATCCAGACTCTTTGGAATACGCATCTGGAGTTGGGGCTGGAAAAATAGTATTAAATGACCCGGTCTAGCCCTTTTATCAACAATTTACAACGCGAAATGTTCAATTCCCACTTGCAGATCAACGTCATTCGGTCGCCCATTGGTGACTTTTCGTGTTTCTCGCCGTTAACTTCCGTCCTCACCTCCTACCCATGGACCCCCAAAACCGCCATTGCATGGACCGGTCTAGAGGAGGGCCGTTTCTTCGACCTCTCTTACTCCCCCGACCATGTGACCAACCCCAACGTGGCCATGTTGCGCCTGAATCGGTCCACAGAGGCTGCTGCGACCACTAAAACTAGCACACAAGGGGTTGGGGCTGCTTCAGGTCAAATCTCCCAGAACACAGGCCCGTGTGGCAGTTATAAAGGGTCTGGCAAAGCCGGAAATAATATTGCCAATGATCGCCACATGACTTCCAGCAACAGTCACGAACCAAACGACAGCACTAGCCACGGTCGATACGGTGTCAACAACATTGTCAGCAACAGTATCAGCCCCCAAAACATGGATACCCTACATCGCAGCATATCCCCCAACATGACCAGGACCACATCTCTGATCCTCCCCACTCCAGACACAACTATCGACCAAAAAAGTGAAGAGGTGGAAGCCAATTCGGAGGAGGAGACCGAAAATGACGTCGAAGAGTACATGTGTTCCGTCAATCGCGTGCGAGAAATGTACGCCCGGTCGTACCCCAACATTTCACTACCCCCCATCAACAGAGAAGACTCTTATCAATATTACAGAAATGCCTCTGTTTCAGATGGAATTTATTCTTCTACCCCTTCCCCGACTCCTTCTCCTACTCTGCCGTCTCTGACGTCTGTTCTGGGCGATCTTGTGCCCCGGATCGAAGGCTTCTCCGATACAGATGGAAACGGTTATGCATCCAGCGATTACGGCGGCAGCAACGGCAGTGATTCCACCTACAGTCCTGGGTCTATTCAGTCTTCTCCTGAAGCTATTTACACGAGAGATACACGAGGCGGTCGCCCCGACGTCATTTACCATCACAGAACTACAAAGAGGGACACCGTGCAGCCCCAATCTACCCACCAGTCTCCTACAAATCATGAATCCACCAAACTCGCACCCACCAAACTCACACCCACGAACCGGTCTCTTTCGTCCGCTCCTTCTTCTTCTGCTCAATACTCTTTCTTGTCCGCTTCGCCGCATTCCCACTTGCCTTCTCATAGCTGTGTGGCAGAACTCAAGAACCGAGGGTTGTGGGAGGAGGCACAGAAGAAGAAACGTGGAAAGCTTTCGTGTTCGGAATGCGGCAAATTCAAGCACTTGGAGAAGTTCAACAATCTTGCTGACCTCGCCAAACACTTGGACCAGGAACACCAAGACCTCAGCCACAGACTCAAGTGTCCACATCCAGAGTGTGCCTGGGGCGTGGTCGGCTTTGTGTCTCTCACGGAGCAGAAGCGTCACATTAAGCATCTGCACGAAAGCCAGCCCATCCAGTGCGAAATCTGCTTCCGCAAGCTGCAGCGCCAGGACGGATATATCAGACACATGCGGGACGTTCATGGGGTGTCTGCCACCAAGACCGACAAGTTGCCCCACCGCAACGCAAGGAAGGTAAAGCCAGATAAACAATAACTGTTCATAATAGTAATAATTTATTGCATTAAATATTTGCGTTGAAAGTATATCAGCCATTTCACTGGAACCAGGACTGTACTGGCATCGCTTGACTACAATGTAGCTTTCCTTTGTTTTCCAGTTTGGGTTAAATGAGATGAGGCAAAATAAAACTTGTCTGTTTCGATGGCGTAATCATATCTGGGGTACAAGTACTGTATTAGTAATATACCATGTGAGATATCACGTGTATTAAGGCACGTGATATTTACTAGAGTAGGTGTACGGTACAGTACTCAAAACCAGGTTGGAATGGGCTGCTGAACGGACAGGATCATCTATCGACAGTATCAAGGTGCTCCTTATACCGCTCTTGAGGTCATAAAATTTAGTGTCCGAAATGGGAAACTACAAACCTGCCCCAGTTGCACTACCAAGCAGAAGCCTCCTTCATACTGGGTCGCTATCATTTTTCCTGTCATCATGATATCTAAAGATTATAAGCAAAACAAATCAAAACATGCTATTTGGGAATCCTGATACATCAACTAACTTACTGTACCTTTTCTCGTATTTTTTTTATTATTTTTTTTTTGGTATTCTAGGGAAATGCGCTTCAGCTCTTTCCTTTTTTTCCTCATTCTAATAATTCTTTTTTTTCTAATGATTCTTATTATCATTATTGTTATTCTTTTAAGGAAACCTTCTTCTTTTGTTCTCTTTATTTTATTCATTTCTCAATTCTAATAATTCATTAGCTTTTTTTTATTTTTATTCTAATGATTCATTACAGCTATATACCTACAAGTAGTACGCCGGGTTATTGGCGTTCAATAAATCATACACTTCTGAAGGATTGCGGTGTGCGGTGCGAGGCGCATGTCAGTTGGTTTGTAGACGCTTCGTCTCGTTCTTGTCCTTGTCGTGGTATCGTGGTAGTGAATCATGGCTAACAGATCAAGTAATCATATCAATCGTTCCATGTCTTATCCAGACTCGAGGTTGGTTTAGTTTGTTCTCATAAAGATCGTAGAATTTATTTATTTATTTTTTTTTTTTCATTCTAATAATTCATTACAGCTATATGCAATACTTACTAACCCGAATTATGCTACGGACAAACAGCGTCTTTTTTTCAACAACAACACCGGTCCCTTGGCCCAGTTGGTTAAGGCGTCGTGCTAATAAGAAATTAGCCTCTTTGCAACGCGAAGATCAGCAGTTCGATCCTGCTAGGGACCATTTTTTTCCAAACAAATGATGACATCTTTTTTTTCTTACAGCGAATACTGTAATAAAACATTTGACACGAGTGCACTATATTGTTTTCTGGATAGGAGTATCTCTCGACAATGTCCCGTAAATCATGTTTCTTTTTTTAATTTTTTTTAATTTCTTTGTTTAACCATAACTACTTAGCACTTTGCTTAAACCGTTTAATGGAAGCATGATTAGTTAAGAAGTATGACTAAATCACAAAAAATACATTCTGTAGACGAGGAACGGAATTTTTTTCATTAATTAGCTACTACAGATCGGAAGGGGTAATCTTGAAGCTAGGAACCAAGTAGATTTCACGATGAACTCGCTCACGACTCGAGACTTGCTACGAGAAATGCTCATATGGTCGTGCAACAATTAGTTATCAAACCAATAGGCAAACTGACATGAAGCAAAGTGGATGGCTAATTGGTAGGACTGTGACATCTGGACTGCCCTCCCATGCTGTCGCTTACAAGCGCGCTCTTCACTACTCTTTTCGATGATGAGATGAAGCCAGGCGCTCTGAGCGTCCTGCTCGCAAGGGAAAACCAGGGAATTGCCTTCAATCAGCACTTTTCTGTCGGGATGTCGGGTCAGAGCTTCTTGCTGGGTATTTTGCTGGGTATGTTTGAGGCCATATCGTCTTCCAGGGAGGGATAAGAAATAGACAGTTGGGATTACCGTCTTTTCCTCCAATGGCGCGACTGAGACATCGACATCAGAGGTCGTCTGAGATTCCGATGACATGGGCAAGTCAGGAACATTGGTGTCGCCGACAAGAGCACGGCACCTCGACGTCAGTGTACTTTCGACAGGATCTCAGCAACATCTATTGGATCTCGCAGCAGCTGGGACTGAGGTTGAAGGTCAACAGATCTTTCATCCTCTGGATCAGCATTGAGCTCTACCACGCTGTTATCAACGCGTTTTCGTTTAGTAGTAGTTATATGCGGTGCCTTGCGCTGCGCTCACAACTGGTCGCTGTCGTCTCTTGGACTCAGTTTACGCTCTGTGTCTTTGGTTCTACGGGGAGAAGTAGACGATCGAAACCTCCTACCCTCACGGTATAGCGTCTACCATAACGAAGGGGCTCACCATCATCATACACGACTGGAACCTCAATGGCAGCCCAGAACATGCCCCGGCTGTATCCTTCGTTTGCTTGCAGGTTCTGTTGCACAGGATTGACACCTAGAGGGGGAACCTGACCCTTCCGTCTTTGGATGTTTGCGGTCGGTTTGACGAACTGGTGCCCGAAGTAGTTGGCAATCACATCGGCAGGCATATCGTGACATGATTTGAACAGGCAATTGAACTTGGGCAATGTAACCAATGGTGTCAGGCTGGAAAACTCGTGCTGAGGCTGCGTGAGTTCGGAGTCAAGAACAATGTCATTAGATCTTTCACATTCAAGCCAGGGTTCGACCAGCAAAAACCAGACTCAATGGTGAAACTGAACATTGTTTATCAGAATGGCAGCTCTGTTGGTGGAGGAAATCTTTTGTGAAGTCCATCATGAGAAACCCCATTGCGGTGGTGCGAGCTCCATCCAATCACTACTCTGCTGATAGTATCGGAACTTCATGGTGCGATCCGGACCCATGAGGCTCGGGGTATCCAAATGATCAAATGCAAACAGTCGCATTCGCTCCAATGGCATCTTGGTGACCTCCCTGAGCCCTTAGCTCGTCAATCCCTGCATGATCGATCTCGCAGGATTTCAGCTTGCTCCGGTTGGCTGCTAGCTCTTTCTGAGATTTATCGAGATCAGAATAATTGTCTGCCGCTTCAATTCGCTCTGCAGAATCTCGACACTTTGAGGATCGAGAAGTTGGCTGAGGATACCAGGTGGGTTTTCTGATGGATGACAGTCTCTCATATTTGATTTCAGCAATGGCAAACTCCTGTTCAGCAAGTGAGGATTCTAGCACCCTCACAGTTTCTGCCCTGCCCCCTTGTTGCTCAATGGAACAAGAAGCTCGCTGCTGAACAAAGTACGCCGACCCCCAGAAGGCTCAACAACCTCACTCTGGATGGGACGCTCTGATCTACACTCACTGAGCCTGGCATACTTTAGTTTCTCCAGCTTACCATTTATCCTTGCAGCCGGGTACACTTGCTCTGCCTTGGATCTGGAATTTAGTCCTTTGTGTACCTGTAACTATCCTGCTTCATTGTCGAACCACTCGGGGCGGCCTTGTGGGGCTGATATCTAAGCTTGTCAAGCTCATTGAGCTCAGCCTGAAGCTCCAGAACCCTCTATGACTGCTCCCTGCACTCCTTCTTGACTTCTGCCTCACACGTTCAGCAGGACCCCGAGGAGCATTCTCGTTGTGGGGGAGTGATGGAACGATGAAGACCACCTAGGACAATGCCTATTGCCATAAATTGTCGGTGTGACCTTGTTGGATCCGTCTGAATACCTCACATCATTACCGTATATGTTGGTCCACCCTTTTTGCAGTCACAGGCTGCTTTTCGCCCAGATGACCATACCACCCAGTTGATTTGACTACCACCCAGTGACTACCACCCAGTTGACATTGTCGAAGTTCAGTATCACCAAGTATTATCAGCATTGTAGAATTGGAATATCACAAGGCATTCCAAACGTAGCCCAAGATTTCAACACAGCCTCCGTATCTTCGAGTGAGTCTTGAACTGGATGAGCCCGAACTGAGAGTCTTGTAGTACCCTGGTAAACCAAAAATCCAATGGCATCTCTCCTGTCATTTTATAGATGGACCTGTAACCGTGCTGAACTTCCAAGATTCGGTCCATACACACACAACCAATCCGTTTTGCGAAGGGTTTATCAAGTTGGGCATTGCTGACCACTTCAGAAAAACTCTTGGTCCTGATCATGTAATCGAGGTATGGAAAACTGCAGCCCTTGATATCGTCAAGCGTTTTGCTCATTCTCATAAGGGCTTGGGCGTGATAACCTGTTTTATTGAGGTGTCTTAAAACTTCCTTGTCGCCTGCGGCATTGCGAGCACCAGGAATGTTGATTTAGCAGGCAGCTTCGGGGAACCATTCGTCCATTTCGTGAACCGAGTACGGACGTTTCCGAGAGCGTCTCCTGTCGCTGGGAATGTGTCGTCTGCCAGTAAGATTCTTATATTCTCTCACCCTCTTTCCAGCCCCTCGCGGTTCCGAATCAGTGGTATAGGAAGCCTCGTCGCATGATTCCCCTGTCGCGGATATCGTCTCCGTCGTAGATATGACATTGTGGGAGATGATCTCCTTCAGGGAATCTCAGCGTGAGAAACGTAATTCTCGGTTCAGCGGTGCCTGATCCACCCCATGCATAAAATGTGCACGTCGACGTACAGCTTAATAACGACGACGTAAACCGCGGTTCTCCACGGGCCAGACTCGATTGTAAGCCTCTAAAGGTGGGGATGGGCGGAAATCCGCTTCAAGGAGACTCAGGATACCCCTACTGGCAGCTATGTGATTAGTCAGCTTTTTCTATCCCGTTATTTGACGTTTTTGGATGCCGTCCGAATGCTCTGTTTTGACGCCACCCAATATACTTTGCAACACGAAAACGCACGCGCCACCACTTTCAGTAAATTAGACTTCCTTTCTAGTCAAGACACAACACGTCTTTTTTTTTTTTTGGGGATCTTGCCGCGACATTCGCAAAACACACCCTCAAATGGCCGACGAAGAAATCGAACGAGCGGGCGCCATCCCCATCGAGCGCCTGGCCGTCAACGGAATCACCCAGACGGATATCAACCGCCTGGGCGAGTTTGGACTCTACACAGTGGAGAGTGTGGCGTACACGCCCAAAAAACACCTGCTGACCATCAAGGGCATCAGTGAGGCCAAGGCCGACAAGCTGCTATCAGAGGCGTCCAAACTGGTGCCCTTGGGATTCACCACCGCCTCAGACGTGCACCAGACCCGTTCTGGACTCATCACACTAACCACAGGCTCGTCGCAACTGGATACTCTACTGGGAGGCGGTATCGAGACCGGAGCCATCACAGAGATGTTTGGTGAGTTCCGAACGGGAAAATCGCAGCTGTGCCACACTCTGGCCGTCACCTGTCAGCTTCCCATCGATCAGGGAGGAGGCGAGGGGAAGTGTCTGTACATTGACACAGAGGGCACTTTCCGTCCCGAACGTCTGCACCAGATTGCCCGGCGATACGGACTCAACGGAGACGAGGTGCTGGACAACGTGGCATACGCCCGAGCCCACAACTCGGACCATCAGATGCAGCTGCTGCAAATGGCGGCCAACATGATGACCAAGTCGCGGTTCTCGTGTCTCATTGTCGACTCCATCATGGCGCTCTACCGAACAGATTACGCAGGACGAGGAGAGCTGTCTGCCCGTCAGACCCACGTGGCCAAGTTCATGCGAACCCTGCAACGCCTTGCCGATGAGTTTGGCATCGCAGTGGTGATCACCAACCAGGTGGTTGCCCAGGTGGATGGAGCTGTGTTCAACCCGGACCCCAAGAAGCCCATTGGAGGAAACATTGTGGCTCATGCGTCCACCACCCGGCTCTACTTCAAGAAGGGCCGAGGAGTGCAGCGAATCTGCAAGATCTACGACTCGCCCTGTCTGCCAGAAAGCGGGTGTGTCTTTGCTATTCATGAGGATGGAATCGGAGACCCCAAGGATGAGGAGTAGGCGAGGGAAAGCAATGGTTGCAGTAAATAGTGAGACCCATTTTATTTAATCATTTCGAGACTGTAGCGAGCATCTCGACCACATCATGGTCCCATTTTGATTACCTGAGTCGACGGGAATGGTCTCTGCGAACATCGTGCTTACAACCAACTCGGTAAGAGTTCATGGAAAGGAAGAAGGGATCTTTGATCTCCAATTATTTGATATTATGGAAAATATTATCTCAACACTGCAAAATTCGTCGCAATAAGGACTACTACATCACACAGCCTAAACTAAACGAGAGTCGACCGCTGAGTCAGCAGATCATAACGCCAGGGTGAAGACAGCCCAGGAACCAGTAGAGAAACAATATATCACGAGAGAAGCAAAAAAGAATGGACGACACCGGAATCGAACCGGGGACCTCGCGCATGCTAAGCGCATGTGATAACCAACTACACCAGACGCCCTCGATGTGTCCCGGGTAGGACACCGGTATTTGATCTCGAATTTGGAGCATCACACCGAAAAAAACGCCGTATTTCGATATGGAACTGGAAGAACAGGTGGACAAGCGAACACGAGGGTCATGTGCTCTTCAGAACAGTTGAATCTGAAACCGATGTGCTGGTATACCATTGTTTATAGGCCTCGAGAAGTTGTAGAGTATTCCCTAGAACAAAAAAAAAATAAAAAAAAAACAAGTAAAAAAAAAAATACAAGTTAAAAAAAACAAGTAAAAAAAAAATTACAAGTTAAAAAAAACACTGTAATGTTATATATGAAAAAACCGCTCCAGTTTTGATCATAGGGGAATTGTACATTGTAGATAGCAATGGATTTAATATCAAGTGCAATTTGAATTTTTTAAGATACCGAGATTGTGAAGGTCTAGACCAAATCACAGCGACGTTTGGTACTGTCTTGAAGAACGGCTATCCCCAGTGATTAATGGTGAATTACTCGGAATTTGACAATATATGGTTACTAAGTACAACTGAAAACTATTTTTGAACTACAATCTACCATATCCGTATGGTCATATGGTCATTAATAGCCCAGTAGAAGATGCAACAGTACACTGTGTGTATGTACTTGTACATAGCCAGCTGTGCAGTATGGACAATGACAATGATGATGTTATATATCAGTTAGCTACGACAGTCTCAATTGCATATTACTCTTTCGATTCCACAACTTATATTGTCATTCAGATCTTATGAACGGATTGTCTCTGAGAAGTTCCGCACCTTACCCACCACAGATTCAGACTATCATACATTACGTACTGTACCCGTGTTCATACTATCTGAGACGATTCCAATCGCCGCATTCGACTCGCAATTACTTTTTCTCATGGTATAATTCCTTTTTTTGGCTGCTTCCAAACCATGCCATGAGCTGAAACCAACGTCCAGTTGACTCGGCTAAGGACGGTTTTCGGAGCAACCAGAACCCTCAGTGATTCAGACGTCAGTCGTCCTTGGAGAGAGTCCCGTAATACAAACCCGCAACACGCCCCTGGAACCCCCAACTCCATTCACCTTCTGCTTATTTCCTTCACGTGACCGGTTTCCTGGAGCTACATGAAGTCTCTCATTACTAAGTATACTGTATTGTAGCCGAATTACCATTCACATGATCCCCAGATTTTGTTAGCGGCGGTTTTAGCGTGCGCCGTTGAAAATTAGGGCTACGTGTAGACGGTGTTGTAGTAGGGCTATGGAAATGAAAGTGGTACTGCAAGAATCTACATCACCTGGAGAATTGATTGCTAATCTCAAAACCCCCCATATATATCTCCACACACTCACCAATCTCCTGCTACGAATTCCTCCACCGAAACCTTATTTGAACCACATCCCATACAACAACAAGGTTGGTGACCAATGAGATGAGTGGGAATTGTCTTTTGAGGAGAGCGATATAAGTGGGTTAGTAAGCAAGTCGCGTGATACGGTCATACAAGCAGATATCTGCAGGCAATATAATAAAACCCCCCCGGACTGTTGCTGTCCCCAACCCCCCCACCAATCATCCCAGGGTTAGGGCTCATCCCACTACCCCACATCGGTGAATGGACGGAGGTTAAACAACTTTATCCCTATTACTCTCGGCAAGAGTTCATTTTTCACAACTACACCACGCACTACACTCACTTCACCACCCACCACGCGACACTTGTGAAGACCGACTCTCCTTCTGAATCCCCCCATCTTCGAAATGTCGGCTCACGGGACGTACGAAAATAAACGCACTTTGGCGTACGTGTGCAAAAGCGGTTTGGCAGGAGGCATGGCTGGATGTGTTGCTAAGACTGTGATCGCTCCGCTGGATCGAGTCAAGATTCTGTTCCAGACGTCGAATCCCGAGTTCCGCAAGTATCGTGGCTCGTTTCTGGGCTTCTGGCGCGCAGGAAAGTTCATTTACAGCCAACAGGGCGTGTGGGGTTTGTTCCAGGGCCACTCGGCGACGCTGCTGCGAATCTTTCCCTATGCTGCAGTCAAGTTTGTGGCCTATGAGCAGTTTCGGGCGCTTTTGATTTCCGGTCCCGACCAGGAGGTGGCTCTGCGACGAATGGCAGCCGGCTCTCTGTCCGGAATCGTGTCTGTCTACTGCACTTATCCTCTCGAGTTGATTCGAGTTCGCATGGCGTATGCCACTAACGAGGTTGGAAAGCCCCACGGAGGCCGGCTACTGGCAGCGGCTCGGTCCATCTACGCCGAGACTCCGTCGGCAAAGGCCACCCAATTCTTCTCGCCCAGAATAGCTGCCTGGACCAACTTTTACCGAGGCTTCACCCCCACGATTATGGGTATGATCCCATACGCAGGCGTCTCGTTTCTGACCCACGACTACATCCACGACCTGTTCCACACACGGTACTTCCGATCATGGACCGTCAAGGGCGAGATTGCGCCGAAAAAGACTTATCCGCATCTACTGGAAACCAACAATGACGATGTCATGCTGGAGGGCCATCACCATGAGGACGAAGACAAGAAGGTGTCATACAAAAGAGAGCCCCTCAAGGCGTGGGCACAACTCATTGCCGGAGGAGTGGCCGGAATGGTGTCGCAAACTGCATCGTATCCGTTCGAGGTGATTCGACGACGTATGCAGGTCGCAGGCGCACAGGCGGGCTCATCAGGAGTGCATCCCAGCATAGTGGCGACCGCACTGACAATTTACAAGGAAAGCGGCTTCAAGGGTTTTTTTGTGGGACTCACTATTGGATATATAAAGGTGACTCCAATGGTCGCATGTTCGTTCTTTGTCTACGAGAGAATGAAGCATTGGTTGGGCATTTAATGTATATATTTATTGCATGTCGAAGCGGTTGGACCTGGAAACAATCATGTCCACCTGCAGACTTTGATGAACTGACACATGGGTCTTACAATAGGAGAGAACACTGGTATGCGTGAAGGTGCCAGTGCGGCTTACAGAGTTGAAAGTCAACGTATGCCTAGCTTTGGAGATGGGGAGATGGCATTGTAGAGGTGTGGGTTTCTGTACCATGTGATGTACGTGTAGTATCACTTCTTATCTGTATTAATGGCAATGAGCTGAAAGTGTGCTTGAGATGTCCGAGACTACTTGTAGTACAGTAAGCACCAGATCCACCGGTGACACGATCAGATGACATGATCCACAGATGGGAGATCCACATGTTTGTCCACGATTGGCTCACAGTATGTCTCTTGACTGTCTGTCCAGAGCGCTTGGTGATTGGTATCTAAGCCAGAGCTCCTAAGCCAGACCCTGGACTATGGTGTATGTCTTTCGAGACTCCAGAACTTATTGGGCGAGAGCTATTTGTATCACACTCTGCATCAACAACAGACTCCAACAGTTGTTTATTTTCCAAAGTCAGCAACAATTCAAAGAACGTCAAATGGCATATCTTCAGTTAGCTACTGGGCCGCTCCTGCAATATTTTGGACCTCGGCTCGGCTCGGCTACCGTTTGTTTGAGCTGAGTCATCGGTAAAACAAATAGATGCACCTGTAGAATCTACAGAGCTAGTTAATCTCTATATTAACACATGATCCTAGCAGTACCAATAATGGTCGTTTTTACCGCCATTTCCGCCTTCTCCAAATGTGGGGTATTAAGTTCAAGATAATGCAGAAGCGAGCTATTTTTAGGTTTCAAAGTTGAGATGTGAAAAAGAAAAAAAAATAAAAAAAATAAAAAAAAGCGATCAAGGCAGTGATGATGATGAACGTTGCAAAAAACAATAAGAAAATGCTCCTCAGTGGAACGGGAATAAGTCGGGTATTTCGAATTTCATTTTGCCTGTTGATCGTAAACCTCTTCCTGAAAATTGGTGGTATACCGGTGGTGTTCCCGGTCAACTGGCTCTAAGAGGCATGAAAAACGAAAATTCGCGAAAACCGCTTTGGTTTAAAATGAGGGAGTCGTCAGAAAAACCTATCGAATCGTTGGAAGACTTATATTTGTTAGCCGCGCGGATATATTCACAGTACACTGGGTGAACTCACATCACCGAAACACCCTCAGAACACCAACTTCAACAGATGACTTCATTCTAAAAGATCTAAATGAGCGGTTCGGTTTGGTCAATTAGTTCACTCTGCTTTTCATTCTGAGATTCTATACAAACAAGTGTCTGATTGGCTACAAAGGTTTCAATAACTCTGCCGACCAGGTGTCGCAAGCTTCAGGTATGTATACTCACTTGTACGTACCAGGTACCAAACCTGGAGAGCATCAGCAGTCACATGATCAAAGACTCGAAATATCTTTTCCATAAGCGATATACTTTTCCGTAGGCGATCTACTTTTCCATGAGCGATCTAGTCACCTCTTGAAGCGCTGTAGTATGGGTGCAAGTCCGGAGGCCGCCACGATATTACATACTGTATGTTTAGTCGTACTGCATCATGTAATTCACGCTACTATTCTGAATTGTGATAGTATTTCCACCTCATTAACCATTCTTCATTTTCCTATCTTTTCAATCATCCACTTCTCTTTTATCCAACTTTGGACCTATGTGCAGTTATCTTGAAGAGCAATCTTGGGTGTGATGAATGTATCGTCAAACGTGAACTAGTGACACCGTCATGAACGTACTTTGGCAATGCCTTATTCACGAAAAAACTCTTCACTGTGGCTCCTTTAGCCCGGTTATCGAATCTCGACTCTTGGCTCTTGGCTCTTGGCACGAGAATGTGAAGATGCCGTATCCTCCGTCAAGGAGCAGAGATAGTCTCAATGAAATCTGAAAGCCAAGACGATCTTTCATTGGTGTCATACACCCCGGCTATATTTGCTCATCTCTGTCCAATGTGAAGTCTGGGCATCTAATTTTTCACCCTTCTTTATCTGCTCAAAAAAATGAGCATGATGATTGATCCTGAAGCTTGAGATGGACAGACCTTGAAGGTCGTTTGTTGGACACACACAAAACACCCAGAATTAAATGTCATCCCATCTACAACCAGACGAGATCTATCTACATCCGATACAATACCCGTAACTATCTACACGCACCTTCCATCTTCGCCATGCCGATAAATCTTTTATCAATCTACCGGGATTGCACGTACGAATGTACTGTCCCTGGACTTGGTGAACAAAGAGTGGTGAGACATGCCCACCTTTGATGAGACAGACGATCAAAGGTGGAGTGTGTCAGCTGTCAGCTGTGAAATAACCTCCTAGCGTGTTCTCATAGTCAATACGGGTTGGTACAAGCGCAGTATTTGTTAGCCATACACAATGCTCTCTACAGCTGACCATACCCGCTCTGTCTTGTCAAAGATTCTGACCACTGCCCTGGCTCCTGCATCATACTCACTCCTTGGACGTACTCAACATGTTGAAAGCCAAGAAAGAAGCCGCTCACCTCCGGAAGGAATACGACCCCAGGCACACAGGTTACAGGCACGGACTGGCTATGGAGGAACAATCAAAATGGAACAGAGCTACGGACACAAATGACAAGCGCGCGCTACGCCGAATGTTTGAGAAAGACAAAGAAAGCAGGTTTCCATCCGGGGCTCTGTTATCAAAATCATCTCAGACACGCACGAGATGACGATAACTGTGGCTGGTGAAGGTGTGGCGTTGTGGCTAGTGCGAAAATAGGCTCGCATGCATGTGCATAGAGAGCAAAGAATCAAGGGGCATTTTGGAGATGTTACGAGTGATGGATTCTGGTAGTTATTGGTATCAAAAAGTTCACATTACCCTGTCGAATTCTTTTCTATAGCCCAAATCCACTCATAAATCTGGGTTGATGTCCCATTCTTCCTTCCTCCAAATCTGACACTCTCTGAGGTCTCTTTTCCAATCTGCTCACTTATACGTGATCATGCATAGTAAATGAGCAGACAACAGCCACCTTGGGGGTTATTTCGGGCACCGTGTCGGAGAATGGCCTAGAAGTATTTCTAAAATGACTCATTTGAGATAAGTCATAGGTTTCTCTCGTACCGGTTCTTGAATCTGTTGTTTTCAGCCTCGGCTACCTTGTACAGTAGTCTATATTCTTTTACGACACTCTAATCGGGTCCAGTATTAGGGTCAACTAATTCCAAGTACAATTAAGGTTGTTCCAAGAAAAGGAGGCTGTTACCCCGAAGTCAAGAGACCCCGGCGAGGACAAAGAAGACGAGATCTTTCAGCTCCATTTTGCGATTTCTTTGGATTATTTTTTTTCTTTCGCTTTTGTAGAATACATCTGATATGAAATTGCTCAATCGCAACATATATATAACAAGCATCCGGTCACTATCTATCTGATCTCTGTATAACGATCTGAAGATCTACGACACTCAAGAAAAAACAAAGGCGAAAAAAATGAAGCTGTCAAACCTCATCTGCTCCACGATGTTGGCTTCAGCGGCTGTGGCCTTCTCACCCATCAACGTGCACTCCATCGAGCCTCTGATCAACTCCAGTGAGTCGTTGCAAGTTCGAGAGATTCTCAAGGTTGACCGAACCCGACTCTTGTGTGCCGTTGACGGCGCCGGAAACAAGCGAGCTTGTCTGACTGAGTTCAACAACAAGAACATCGATGTGTTGGCAGCTTCTCTCAACAATGTTCTGCTTGGAAAACAACTCGAGGCCCGGTCCGAGGCTTCTTCGAGCTTCTCCGGAGCCGGAAGAAACAGCGACGAGGAATTGGACTGTTCCTTCGAGCCTCGAGATCTCAAAAAGCCCATTCGAATCGGCGCTCTTTTTGCCGTTCTGGCCACCTCGGCCCTTGGTGTTTTCCCTCCCGTTTTGGCCACCTCTGTGTTCAAAATCAACCTCCAGTCGCTCCCCATGACCTTCGTCAAGCAGTTTGGAACTGGAGTGGTTCTGAGTACCGCATATGTGCATCTGGCAGCTGAGAGTCAGGAGGACTTCACCAACGAGTGTCTTGGAGACCTTAGCTACGATCCCACTGCCATGTCTCTTGCGTTGGCTGGTACTTTCATTGCCTTTGTGCTTGAATACGGCTCTGCCAGATGGCTCCGAGCCCGTCATGAGCGAAAGAAGCCCAACCACTCCAGTGAATCGGACGATTGCGACAAGGACCAGGTCAAGGGTGCCGTGGACGTAATTGAAACCCAGATCGACATGTCTGGAGCCGCCAACATGGGCTGTGCTGCTCACAACGCCACTCTGATTGATCCTAACGATAAGATCTCCGTCATTATCATGGAGGGAGGCATCATTTTCCATTCTGTTCTTGTCGGCGTTGCAGTCACAATTGCCGACGATGACGGCTTCATTTCTCTGTTCATCGCCATTCTGTTCCACCAGGCGTTCGAAGGTATCGGCCTTGGGTCTCGAATCGCCGGACTTCGTGACTCGTCTCTGTTCTTCAAAATGAGCATGTGCACCTATTTCACCATCATCACTCCCATCGGCATGGCTATTGGTCTCGGTGTCATGGACTCCATGAACTCCAACGACCCTGCCACCATTTGGGCCATTGGAACCATCTCGGCTCTGTCTGCTGGCGTGCTCATTTGGGCTGGAGTTGTGGAGATGTTGGCGTTCGACTGGCTGTTTGGAGATCTTTCTTTTGCACCCAAAAAGCGAGTCTTTTTCGCAATGTCGGGTCTGGTTGGAGGCATGATTTGTATGTCCCTCATCGGAAAGTGGGCCTAGTCCTTGCCAAAGGCGATATAATGATTAATGAATAGATAATACGATTTTATGAGTTGAGTAGAGAAGGATGGACAAGTGCGGAACTGAGAAATAGCTACGAGTGGTGGAGTATTGCGGTCCACTGAATAGTTGGAAGCAGCGTCATAACTCTGCATCCCATTTGGAATGAAGACGAGAGAAGTGACGATGTGATCTGTGAAGGTGAAGGGTCAGTTGATCACGCACAAATGATTAATTAGCAATTTGACATGGCATACAGTGCACTGACAATCAACAATATATCCACAGATAACAGTTAATACTTGCAAATGCCCATCTGACAGCCTACACTAATCGTACAATAAGACTCGCGGCAAGTTGGGCGCTCTGTAGCTCTGCTGCTACATCCACTGCACTCGCTGCTACACAGCTAGTACAGTTCGTCAATCGTTTCATCATATAACATACATAGTTCCTTCATCGACAGTGTTAGGTTGATACTGTCAATGCAGGGTTGTAGCTGGAGTTGCCGCTTATCTGGGACCAAGCTTGGCCAGGCATGCGGGGCCCTGCTCCTCCCACTCTTGTTTGGAGATCCACATGTGCTCCTTGTCATGCATAATGTTAGCAAGCACGGCACCTCCCAGGAAGACCATATGTCGTCGTCGAGGGGGGTCCTCAATTTTGACCTTGAAGTTGTTGAGTCGGGTGGGGTCGCCGTTAAGCACCCGGGTGAGCCACAGCTGCTTGAGCTCCTTCTCCATTCGGGATGGCAGACCGGGATACATGGACGAACCTCCAGACAACACAATGGCTTTGTACAGCGACGATCGCACATCAATGTCGGCGGCCTGGATAGTGTTGAACAGCGTCTCGGCGATTCCAGGCTGTTCCGAGTCGACCAGATGGGGCTGGAACAGACACTCGGGGGCCTCGAATCGCTCTGATCCCAGCTTGATGGTTCGGCCGTCAGGAAGTTCGTAGGTGTCGACCAGAGCAGTGGTTTCGTTGGCGAGCTTTGTGTCGAGGTCCAGGTCGTAGGAGACGTAGCAGAACTTCTCCTTGATCTGTCGCACGGTCTCGAAGTCGGCAGTTCGGTTGAAGGCGTATCCTCGTCGCAGTAGCAGAGCAATCAGCTGTCGGGTGACATCTCGACCAGCGACGTCCAGACGACGGGTCAGGTGGTTGAGCACCACAGACTCGTAGACAGGCACCACGTGGGTAACACCGTCTCCAGAGTCCACCACCACTCCTGACGACAGGCCCTGTGCGTACAGAGCCAGGACGGCCTGGATGGCTACATAAACGCCATTGAAGCCGTAGTGCTCAAACATGATCTCGCACATCTTTTCCCGGTTCTTGAGGGGGTTCATGGGAGGCTCTGTGAGCAGCACCTTTCGACCCCGGGTGTCAATCTTCATCTTGTCGTAAAACGAGTGGTTCCACAGGTGACCCATGTCTTCCCAGTTTCGAATCACTCCGTTCTCCATCGGGTACGAGATCTGCAGCATGTTTCGTGCCGCGGCAGCCTCGTCTCCACACATAATGTCCTTGATGGCCACGTCGCCGTATGTGTCTGTGGCCCGCTCTTCAGCCCGCAGAATGGGCCGACCCACCATCGACGGGAAGGTGTGTTCGGGGAAGTTGGTGCCTCCGTAGCCGATTTTCACAAAGCCGGTTCCTTGATCTAGCACAATTGGTTGTTCGCTCATATTCGCTCAGTGGTGTGGATGGAGGGTGGATGTCATGCACTGTCGAGAGCGCTGTATGCGGGAGTTTATTAGTCAGCCACCCTCGACGAGCCTGCAAAAAACCGTTGTTTTGTAGGCTGACATGGCCAGATGGATGTGACAATGCGACCAGTACACCCCAAATAGCTCAATTGGGTCTCTCTCTTACTAATTGCGTCTCAAACACGCCCTTCTATACACTTTCTTATCTCAACACCGAGCTCCAGCTCACCTCCCATCCCACCTCCGAATTGCTATCTCCATCTAGCCAGCCTGGACAACTTTATTTCCAGGCCGCGAAATGTCGGAGATGTTCAAATAGAGTAAAAAAGGGCAGAAAAACAGCTGAAAAAGGGTAAAAAAGAGCAGAAAAAGAGCAGAAAAAGAGAAGAAAAAAGAGCATAAAAAATAATAAAAAAATAATAAAAAAATAATAAAAAATAATAAAAAATAATAAAAAAATAATAATAATAATAATAATAATATAAATAATATAAATAATATAAAAATAATAAAAATAAAAATAAAAATAAAAACAAAAATAAAAATAGTATAGCTACGCCCAGTCGGGGAACGGATACTGTACGCTTAAGGGTTGTGCTAATAAAACAATCTCCTCTTCACCCCACCATCCATATACAATGTACTCATACTAATACTCTTACATCCAGTACATACTGTTCACTCATGGTTGTAGCTTGTTGCAGTGCTACATCAACACTTATCTGAAACAAAACGACCAAAATACTTTGGTTGATCGCTTGATATTTATTATTACTAATGGAAAAATATTACTAATAGAAAAATGCCAAGAATTGCTCACGTTTTCTTTTAGTACCTGGCACGTAATAATCAATCAATAGTCAGACCTTGTTGAAAACATCACTTCCAAGACTCCGTATCTCCGAACTATAGAGGTGAGACAGTCATAGGCGTAATCAACCATCAAGTACATAACTAAACTTACAACAACCAGTGTGATGTACACACCTGCCCTCCACCAAAGCCATGTTATCATGCAATCATAATTCGTTATATAAATAGCTATATGCATATTTTTCAAGATGCTTTTCGTCCCCTCATTGTATATCGCCTACCGTGTCTCTGAGAAGTCTAAGGATTGTGCCGGCGCTGGTAGAACAACACATACGCATTCTTGTTAACAACGGCTCGCTCGTTCACGTTTCTGTTCACCACCGTATCGTCAAAGTAGCACCATCCGAGCTTGCCACGCTTGCAGAACGACGTGTAATGACCCCCGCGCAGCGTTCCGTAATGGTTGGCCACTCCAAACAGTGAGTACCGGAAAGGAGCCGTCTGGCCACGAGGAAGCAGCTTCTTCAAGAAGGGCTCGTCCTCCGATGTGGGCGGAGGCCAATACCGCGTGAGATCCATCTCCAGAGGGTACGTAACAAACGTGTTGAGCTTGTCTCCATAGCCCCGTGAGTGGTCGAACCGCTTGAGATGGATGATCAAAGTTTCTGGAAGCCGCGAGATCTTCATAGACTTGATAGTGGGCCGCGGCTTCTTGCACGTAGGGCACTGCCACATGTTTTCGCCCTCCAGCAACTCCGGCTGCGTAAACTGGTTGAAGCAGTCGTACAGCGTTGGGAGAGTGGCCCCAGCGTACTTGGGGATGGGCAGAGTTAGCGACGAGAATGCAGTGTATGTCGTCGACGTCATTTTGCACACAGTACACTGGAGCTTTGATTGGTACTGGCCCTGAAATTCGTCGACAATAAACGAAGACGCGGACTTGAGGTACCGCTCCCACTCCAGAGATGACACAATTCGAACACTCATCTCCTCTCGTCGCTTCTCCTCGCTCTCGGTCAGCTCACGGGGCTTGTATTGACCATCGCCCACAGAGTTGAGCTCCTCATGCAGGCCATCAAGAATGAAAGTCAAAAATTCCTGACAGTCATGCTGCTCCATGCCGCTGAACTGAGAGTTGACATGTGCAATGATTCCTTTGAAGGAAGTGGGGACCAAGTAAGGGTAAGCGTTCGCCACTAGAGCCTGCACGAGATCAGCATACTTGGCAATCAAAGCTCCCTTGTATCCCAGCTTTGACTTCATGTTGACTCGATGCTTGTATGCCTGATTCACAATGATCTTGGTCAGCTGCGATGTGGCAAGACACTGGATGATGCAGTTGATATAGCAGGTGTTTCCGAGGTTCTTGAGACCTGTGGTAAAGGTCAGAGACATGGGGGGAGGCGATCCGGACATGGGTGCAAGATGGGGCAGGTACGGCGACTGTGGGATAGGCTGGCGCACACTCTTGTAACTGGGGAACTCGCCATTGTGTTTTTCTTTTGGCGAATAAGCACTGGGCGGCTGTTTGATCGGTGAAGAGGCCGTATTCACCGACAACTGAGGAAGAGCATGGGAGTAATAGCCATGCGAAGACCGGGCAGCCTGGGCGGGCTGAGATACGCCGTGTGTGTGGTGCCTGGACTCCGGTAGGGGCTCGTTGAGATACGGATGACATGAGTACATTTGATTTTTGTACGAGCTGGGATCCGGCAACGACGTGGATGAAGATAGGGCCATTGATTGTGGGAGGTTGAGCGACGACGAAGACGACATTGCAGAGGGGGGTTTCGGAGGCGGGGTGGTTGGTACTGGAGGGGGAGTTGGGGATGACTGGTTAGGACCATATGAGTACGCATAGCTGGCGTAGTTGCTGGCGTAGGGGTGCGAATAGACTCTGTTGGGGTCGTAGGACGCCACGGGGGTAGGATCCGTTTGTGTTCGTGCCAGCTCTGCCCTTTGCTGTAGAGGGGACCGGGTGTCAATGAAAGATGTGGCAGCTCCTGAGTGTCTCCACTCGTCCAGACCTCCAACCAGCAGACATGGAGGGCGTTGAAGAGGCCGCTTGAACGCCTGGCTGTAGAGCGCCTTGAGCAGAATTTTCAGCGGACGGGTCTGGTAGCTTGTACTGTTCTGGTCGTAGAAGACAACGATTTCAAACGCCGATCGGGCCATGAACCGCTCAAACTCCTCCGTCGTCAGTGCAGCCAGCATTTTCTCCTCCACTTGCTCATCTGTCATGTCTGCTTCCAGCAGGTGCGGTTCCACACACACAACGTTGGGAGCGGCAATATGGCATTTCTGGAAGTCTGCTCGGGGTCTAATGTCGAGCAGCAGCAGAGTCTCGGGAGCGTGTCCAAGGTACGAGATCAGCTGCGGCGCCTTGAGCGTGATAGTGTGACGTGGCGGTGTGGGCGGAGTCACTGAATGGGGCGGTGGGGAGGGCACAGATGCAGGGCCCACATATGACTGTCGTACGTAGCCTCCGTTTTGCGGCACTGGAACGGGCGGTGGCGATATCTTCGGTGGGGGCATGACACCGTTTTTCGTGGTGGTGGTGCTGCTGCCGTTGGTCGTCAATGTAGCCCGCTGCACCTCGGGGCTCCTACCACGCAGTTTCTCCAGCTTGTCTTTGAGTGGATCAGTCTCTGTGGGGGGGGCAGACTGTTGTTGGACGTCGAGATGCGAAAAGCCTCGTATAGTGTCGTCGATGGATTGCAGCAGGTCGTCGTTGGACTGTCGTCGCACACCCGATGTCTTTTCCCGCACATACTTGCCCTTGACAGTGGAGATGAGCTCCAGCACCCGTCTGTCGGTTTCGGCCAGGTCACACAGCTCCACGTACGTCTCGTGGAAAGGGCCCTTCTTGGCCTGGAATTTATCGTAGTCCGGGTGGCGAGGGATGCACACAAACAGAATCTCGCGGGCCTGGAATATGTGGTAGGCTGCCAGCTCCAGGTCCATCTCCAACATCTGCTTGTACTGCTCTATCTGAGATAGTGCCAGATCGACCATGCGCTTGGGCTTGAAGCCCGACACGGCCCCTGTTGCCTGCCTCGCGGCCTTCCCCAGCTCTTCTAGATTGGTGTATCGCATGGGTACAACTGGTGTGCGGTTGAGCTGGAAGTGGTGGTTTGTGTGTGGTTGGCCATGGTTATTAGGTTTAGCTCCGCCTTGTGTGGCACAGTGCGACACATCATCACGAAGTTGAGGTGACAATGACAAACCACACCCTCGGTGAGGGGACAAAGCGGCGTAGTGCACAGCAGAAGACATAACGATGACGGGAATAACTGTCTCTATATATAAGTTCCCAACCACATTTGTGTCACTAGCACAAAAACTCACTTTATAAAACTGTATGCCATGTCGCACATTATTACCCCAGATCTGATAATGCATAAACGTGTCCGTTATATATGTGGTGACGGGCAGTAACAAATCAGATATTTGTGATTAGTAAGGGGCTCGTCGGAAAATAATGGCTTAGTAATAATATACCTCTCGCGCTTCTTCAACAAAAGAGATTGTTATAATCCCTCGTGTCTGCTATTCAGGCTGTATGATTTGTACAGAGCTGAGATGTATGTATGAAAGTGTACTTGTACATCCAAATACTCGTACATGCAGTTCTATATTTAGGATGGGTTTCTAGGACATGTTGTTGAATTTCCTTCAACAAATTTGTGGCAAAGTCTGTGAATATATGTTATAGAGGATATTTATTGGCTTTTATATTTTTTTATTTATTTTTCTCGAATTTATTCGATTTTGTACCCATTTTTCCCTCCAACCTCTAACTTCAAAGTTCCAGCAAGAATGCAGTTGACAGTCACCCGAGAATGTCTCTGGAATCAATAGGGAGGGCATTTTTTAATTTTTTTATTAATATTTTTTCATTTAATGAACAATATATGGCTCCTTTTATTCTTCTCCGCGGTTTCGTGCAAAAAACAACGACTTTCACTAATCCATATCATATTTAGACCACTCAAGGAGCTATCTATAATCGAACCTTTTCTCCAACAAACTTGGTTGAAACAGTGTGCCCGCTGCTTCATAGTGATGGCCTTTGGTGGATCTAAATAGCGGATATTGAAGAAGTTTTTTGTATCAAATTTATCCCCTCGGTCTCTTCTTCTCACTCATGCTATTAATTTTGCGCTGGCTTCAATATTGAGTCCATTATCGCGAGATCAAAATTCAATCTAGTAGTATGTACTCATTCTCAACTACCCCTGACGAGGTGAAACAGACGAACCTTTGTAAGCTAGCTTTCAAGGAGGTACTGTGCTGTGCTTGTACTTCGGCTCGGCTGGCTCTGAATAAATCTTCACATTCGGGGGCTCAAATCTCCCATCGGCTCGTGTCATTGTGAAACCCGAACCCATGGTCTTGTCTGACCATCTCAACTACAGTTCAAGTAGCACCATAAACCCACTTGCCGAAATACTTGATAAAGTTCAACTATTGTGCTGGCCAGTATAAAATAAAATAAAAAGTATCGTGCAAATAAATATAAAAAATATATATAAAAAAAACCGTCATCATCACTACCTCCATATCTTTGCACCAACCGCATGACAGATACGACCCATGGCTCAATAGAGACAGCCCCGCCAACCCAAGATAATCGCCTCTGACAATGATTACTAAGGACATGGTGATGAACGCCGCGGAGAACGGTGCCCGGTACAGTATGTACATGCAATCTAACATCAGTGGGCTCCATGCCGCCGATTCTGATGCGAAGAAAATGCTGACTAACTGACAGAGGTCAACCGTTTCAGGGTGTCTCTGGTTCTGGGTAGCACCTGAAGAAATAAAGCATATAAAGCTCAGTCAGATGTTACTCAGATTTTAATGGGCCCCCAGAAATGGTCCCCCCCCCCCCCCCCCCTTCAAATCATACACATGCACACGTATTATTACTGCCAACTATATGCACATTTACTATATCTTACCAATCCTTCTTACAGTCCTCCACGCCCGAGGCCAAAACCTCGCTGAGCTCCCAATGTCGCACCTTGCCGTTGGCATCAGGCATTCCCTTGCCATACTTGAAGGACAGAATGTTGCCGAGCTGCCACATGACCTTAATGATTCGGTCCAGATCTTCCTTGGTCAGCGCGGCACTCATGCAAAACCGGGCCCGTGACGACGCAATGTCTGTTGCAGGGTAACCCACCACCACCACGGCAATGCCCATCTTCAACAGAATTCGGCCCATTTCAGGCATTTTGGCCGGCACGTACAGGAGCACCGGAATGATGGGCGAGTCGTCAATGCCGTAGACAATGAAACCGAGCCGCTTGAGCGCCAGACGGAGATACCGCGAGTTGAATGCGATACGTTCCAGACGCTCCTCTCCCTCACCAGGCCGAATCTCGCCGTCAATCGTCTGCAGGGCAGCTGTGATCTGTGCGAGAACGGGTGGTGACACGGACTCTGCGTACACGTTGCCCATGTTGTTGACCCGCAGGTGGTTGATTAGCTCGTGCGACGACGCAATGTAACCTCCTGTGGCGCCAAACGACTTGGTGAAGGTGCCCATGAGGATGTCCACACGTGCGGGGTCGACGGCCAGGTAGTCGCAGATACCTCTGCCTCGCGGTCCCAGAGCTCCGATGGAGTGTGCTTCGTCCACAAACAGGTAGAACTTGTATTTGTCTCGTAGATCGCACATGGTGGGCAGATCGGTCATGGTTCCCTCCATGGAGTACAGACCCTCGACGGCAACGAGAATCTTTTTCCAGGGTCGGTGGGTCTTGGGCTGGCCTTGCGAAATCTGTTCTCGCAGGACTCGTTCCAGGTCCTTGGTGTCATTGTGTTTGAAGATTTTAATGACGGCACCAGAGAGACGGGCGCCGTATCGAATGGATCCGTGGTTGAGCGCGTCAGAGAGCACTAGACAGTGCTTGTCGACGAGCGACGAGAAGACCGAGGCGTTGGTGCCGTAGCCCATGGAGTAGACGAGAGCGTCCTCCTTACCCAGAAACTCGGCAACACGCTTTTCGGTCTTGACGTGTGCGTCCAGAGTGCCGCAGACGGCTCGGGTGCCAAAGGACGAGATTCCCTCTGTGTTGATGCTAACCTCGGCTGCGTCTGTGCACTGGCCTGAGGACTGGGCAAATCCAAGGTAGTTGTACGACGACAGGTTGAGACAGTCGGTGGAGGTGCCCAGGTACTTGTAGGTGGTGTTGTAGTCGTTAGAGACTCGGTCCAGCACGGTGATGTATCGTCCGGGGACGCCCGTGACCACTCGGCCGAAACAGTCTCGCAGTCGCTTCTGCAGACGTCGGATGTAGAAGGACTCAAAGTCGGAAAACAGCGGCGCATAGCCGTCCTTGGCCATGAAGTCTGCCACCGTCTCGGGATGGAACACCTTGGCGTAGTAGTCCTGCACGTGGCCACACACAATCATAATCAGATACCCCAGGTAGGTGAGCAGCAGCATGTAGTAGGCCGGCTCCTCTTCTTCGACATGGCGGATTTTTTCGCTGGGCTGCACCTTCTGCTTGTACTTGTACTCCGGCGACGTTAGTCGACCAAACTCCTTTTCCAGCAGCTGTGTTTCGCAGGCCATTGTAACAACGGTGGTGTGGTGTGGGGGAGTAAGAGACTGTCACGTACCAGGTGATGCGTAGAGGCAATTTTTACGTGTCGTAAACTTTAAGGGGGGAGTTGGAGCGTAGTGGTGTGTGGTGGTGGTGTGGGAAAAAGCACCCGCTGGAAGCCCCGCTGAAAACACAAGAACACGTGGCGGCGGAGATCGGGCGGAAGGGCGAAGGGGCGGGCTTCGGTGCTGGTCACGTGATATAGCGCTATGGGGGCCGCGGTCGGTTTGTGTCCTGTCGGCTATAGCGGCTTTAAGCGGTGGTTTGTGTGCGACTGAGACTGGAGTTGGAGTTGACAAGTTGGTGGTGGAACTGGGACCGTAACTCTGTTATTTGAGGAGTGCTCAAACCGGTATGTATAGATGGGGGAAGGGGGGGTGTTGACGTATTTCGGCTATATACAATCTGATTCTGTCTGTGTAACTTGCTCCGGTCTACACTACGAGTGGGAGTAGTTGTAGTTGTAGTTGTAGTGGATGATCGTGGTTGTATCTCGCGTCCTGCTGCGTACCTGGCACCTCCTGCAGCCGAATGCGGGTTCCGAGAATTGAACCCGAGAAGCCGATTTTTGCCCATAAAAAGTCCGCTGGGCGCGGTTTTGGTCACATTCTTCCGCGGTCGGGTCGATAATAGGCATGAATAGCACTAGCTACAAGCAGGCGAATGGCAGCATGTGATAATTAGAACCCCGCGAACGTTGATCTCAATAGACATAATTTTGTTAGTCTTCAGCCGCGAAGTGGAGCCGAACCCAAGACGGGCACCAAACGGGTTGCCTTCAACTTTTGCCTCACATTGCATAGGCAAATGGAGAAGTCCTAAGTGGGCGTTCATTGGAGTGGGGGCCCCAATTGCTGACTAAGATGAAATGGGTAATTGTTGCTGATCTGATGTAAGACGGTGTTGATTAATTGTTGCTGATGTTAGAGTATTGTCAGAGTGCTGTTTTTAGTACAGCCCAGTACTCGTATTGGTGCCCCCCTTTTACGATTACTCCTAACTCTGCCTGTCAGGTCGAAGATATAGCTCAGCAATAATAAATGAACGTCACACGATCAAACCAACTTGCGACAAGTTGGATTGTGGGCCGTGGGCCCTTCGATGCACAAATGTGTCAGGAGCAATCTATCGGAAGCAATATATCATGGCATCCAATCCATTATTTGCGCGAATAAGGGCAATATTGCGGGACTTCGCCGTGTTTATTCTAATTAATTTATTTGAATCATACAGAAATCGAAAAAAAATCGAAAAAAATCTAGGAAGATTCAATCAAGTTATCTCATCTCCATCGGTAGAATGGTAAATATTAAAAATATTAGTTACTCGGTCGCTATCACCATCCTTCAAAGGTGTGCTCAATTGTTCTTCAATATTACGTTCTGGACATTTACTGAATTATTGTGCTACGGCTGAAGCTGCAAGTATTCGTACACGTACTTGTACTAGACCAAAAAACACAATTATAATAACGTCATCGTATTGAAACCCTTCAATCCTATTCCACCACACACAACACCCTTCAATCGGTTTTTTCAGCACCATTTTTCCACACCATTTTTCCGACCACCCAACACCAACATGCACTGAACATGCACATGCACATATGCACTCATGCAGGAGCGTTCACCTCCATTATGACTAAGCAAAACCCGGACTTATCATAGGAGCTGTCTAATGGAAACAAAGAGGGTCAAAAACATGCCGAAAAAAAGTTTGCCAGAATCAGACCAGCATTTGAACATCCCTGAAACGTTCCCAACTCTCGAAACGCCTCACATGCAGCTCCGGGTCGCCACCCAGCGATTTCTCAGCCGCTTCAAAATCCGCTTCGGATCTACCCTAACCCATACCCAACGTTGTGTATGCGCGTCCATGCACTGATTCATCTACACTTTCGATTAGCGACTAAAAACCCCGATTAGCGACGGGACTCTCACGATAAGATATCTTTGAGACCGATCAGTTCATTGACTATCTACAGCATCCGCTAGGACGTGCTGTTTTTTTTCCACCAATTTTTTCGATTTCTCCTGGATTTTGCTGATTTTTTTCACCCATCAACATTTCGATCTCAACCATGGTTTACAGACACCTAGATCAAGGAAGGACATCGTTTCAGACCATCAAGGTGGAGCCAAGGGCCAGTGGAGAGAAACTGTCGACCAAGTTTCACTTTGAGTCGAAAACTCGCGCCATATTCTCCGGCGACTCCGCAGGGGCTTTCATGTATGCAAATTACAAGGGACGGCACGATCTCTGGCAGCAACTGTTGGAAGAAGAGCCCTATGACTTTGACAGCCCCACGTTGGATGTGGCGTCAGGCTCGGGAGTGTCTCTGATGAAAGTGTGTGCTCAGAAACGCGCTCGAAAGGACAAAAATCAGCTGGTTTGCAACGTATATGCTATTGACAACTATTCGAGGGACAAGGAGCGTAAATCGCGCATGAAGAAAATCATCAACAACATCCGATGTGAGAATTTTGTTGACTTGGTAACGCTCAACTCGGCGGATCTCACCCAGTTACCGTACGAATCTGACGTCTTTTCCTTGGTGACTTCTCCATGGGCGTTCAAATCATACGATAAGGTGACCCAGAGACAGATACTAAGAGAAATGGCACGTGTGTGCAAACCAGGAGGCTATATCATCATCACAGACTTGAAGCTGAGCTCCAAAGGACCGCTAGAACAATGGATACAGGACATGGGATGGGAAGAAGTGAACAAGAAAGGAGCCGGACCTTGTGGATGGTTCGGATACTGGTCTACGGAATGCTACAAGTTCCAGAAACCGTACGATGACAATGACAGACACTCGGTCATCACCTCAACCACCACCTCAACCATTCCACCAAGTTTGGTGTATGATACAGATGCTAGCTCTTCGCTCTTCAGAGGAGATACTGATAGAAGCAGTTTGTTCACCGAGAGCGACGCAGACACCATTCATGTGTCTATTAGGTAGCAAATAATGATGAGATCAGACATACAAGCCCATAATTAATAATTGATGCCTTCATGACAGTAACCGCAAAGCCTAGGGCGTTCATAGTTGGCACGTTTGCTGCTTGAAGTCCGGCTACTAGTACAAGTACGTACGTACTATACTTGTACTTGTATTAGTGGATCAAAGAGTAATGAGGAAGTGGCTAACTTTTCTCTCTCTCGTCGAAATGCCACACTCGTTCTGGTTTGGTCATTTTGTCATCGCACAATGTTCCATATGGAGAGCTCATATAGCAAGCATAAAAACTACATTATAAAAGCCTTCAAAACCACTCAATATATGTCATATCTTTTAGAAATTGAACGTATTTGTTTTATGAAGAGCCTATAGACTCTATATATGTAGAAATACCCCCAAAACTCTTGATTTTAAACCTGAAAAAAACAATATTACGTAATAATAAATATGAGTATATTGAAGATTTAGTCTTTTGAGGCACAATTGGGGCTTGTAGTGTAGTGGCTATCGCGTCCGTTTCGCATACGGAAGGTCTCCGGTTCGACTCCGGACTGGTCCATTTTTTGCCCCGTTCCGGTCATTTAAGGTTTACGCATATGCCCAGTTCGATTCTTGTCGATGTCAGTTTTTTAATTAGGTTGGCCACCTATCTCTATCATCTGCACACATTGCAACATCATCACCAAATACCGCAAAAAAAATGTCGTATCAGCAGGCCAACAACGATCTTTTGGACGTGGACGACGACTTCATCATCGAGGAGGACACTCCCGCCCCCAGCAACAGCCAAAACACCACGTCTGTGGGGAGCGAGCAGCTGGTCACCCGACGATTCATGGGCGGAGATACTTTAGACGAGCCTGTGCTTCGAACTCTTGGCCGAGACGTGCGGGGGGTAGGAAACCGGCTCAAGGAGGTGGTGTGGCCCGGCTCCCTTTCCGGCTTTATCAACCCCATCGACAACTCTTCTCAATTGATCAAGGAGTGGGACATGTGGGGTCCTCTTGTGTTCTGTTTGATTCTGGCTCTCAGCTTGGGCTGGGGCAACAGCGAGGCGTTTTCCGGAGTCTTTGCCATCACGTGGATGGGCCAGATTCTCGTAACTCTCAATATCAAGTTGCTTGGAGGAAACATTTCTTTTTTCCGAGGCTTGTGCATTGTGGGCTATTCGCTGTTCCCCGTGGTTCTGGGATCGGTGGTTGAGATATTCATTCCCTGGATCTGGCTGTCTGTGCCCGTGATCGTTCTGAACGTGGCCTGGGCGCTGTGGTCGGCCAACAACTCGCTCAAACACTCGGGTGTTCTCCCTGGACGAACCGTTCTGGCTGCCTACCCCGTTGGACTCTTTTTTGTGTCTCTCGGATGGCTGTGTATTCTGAGGTGATGGAGGTGACGGAGCGGAGATCAATTGAGGACGACAGCAGACGACGGCAGACGACGCAGGATGACAGAAGATGTCTGAAGACAGATGACGAAATAGGGGCACCTATAACTAATGAATTATGATGGATGATTGATACGGAGATAAGACAAGTAGATAAGGAGGAAGAGGTCAGCGGAAGAATGAATCCAAGGAATGAAACAGGGACAAACATGGCTGTATTCTTCAAGATCTTCCCTATTAACTGGACAAGAGTCCTGAGTAGAATCTAATAGACAGAGAATTTTCAAAAATAACGTCACGTGAATCAACACCACATGTAGCCACCAATATCGTATACATTGTGTTCACATCTACAAGTTTACATCTACAAGTACAGTACCTTCTGGTTCTGGGGATCATCGCCACCTTACGTAATCAGAAAAACTCTAACGTGCTTCACTGTCTGTGCAGGCACATGTTGAGCTGCATCTCATTGTGTTTCGGCCGACTATTGACGACAAATTTTGAAAAAAAAATGAACATTCGAGGAATTTCCCGGGGTCTTTTGCACGTTTCGCGGGTCGCCGGGGTCCGTGGACCCGCTCACGTCACCCGATTCGCTTTCCCCACACCCGTCTGTGCTCCATCGCGACTTTCGTCTGTGAGATGGTTTTCGGGCACCCCCCAGACGATGGAGAGAAGTGTAGGACAGCCTGGCAACGCCAACAATGTCACCAACATCAATTCCAAGGCTGAGGGTCAGCAGGAGGACCAGGGTGGCGACAAGGAAGGCAAGGAGGGCAACAAGAAGAAGGCCACCGGAATCAAGGCTCTGGTCCAAAAGTACGGCTGGGTGGCATTGGGAGTCTATCTGTCTCTTTCCACCATCGATCTGCCCATCTGCTGGCTCGGAGTTCACTCTGTGGGTCTCGACAAGGTGGTGGAGTGGCAGGTATACCTCAAGGAGTTGGTTGGATGGAAGACCACCCCCAAGGAGGAACTTCAGGAGGACAATGTTGAGGGCAGCGACATTGCCAACACTGTGACCGGCGCTCTTGCCATGGTGACTCCCGATATCGGGGCTGCTGTCGAGGACCAGAAGGTGGACGAGAAGCTGCCGGAGACCTCTCCCACCGAGTCGTACTGGTTTTCCAAGCAGATGTGGGCCGAGTTTGCTGTTGCTTATGCGATCCACAAGTCTCTGATTTTCATCCGACTGCCCATCACTGCTGCCATCACCCCCTCTGTTGTCAAGATTCTCAAGCGATGGGGCTTCAACATTGGCAAGAAGAAGCCTGTGGGTCAGTTTGGCGTCTCTCCCAGCCAGCGGCAAAAGTGGTGGAGCTGGTGGTTCTAAGTCCTGACCAGAGATGATCACTGACACTCCCCTAACAAGAATATGTATATAATGGCTTTGCCGAATAGATGTTAACCTATAGTGTAGTGTAGATGAGATGAGTATGGTCCACGATTCCGGTTTTAGTCCAATTATTTGAATTTTCTTGAATTTATCCCGAAATTCTGGAAATGCCAACAAAATGATTGCCTTCTCTCGTGCAGAATCGGAGACATCGGGCAAACTTTTGAAGTCCAACGCCGCGCGCGCGATAAATAAATTCGGTCGAAACAGAGGTTTATCGGTGATAGTGTTAGTTAGGGAGCTTTGTGAGACCCTGGCTGTTAGTTACTAGGCGAATTGTCAATTGTTGGCTGTTAGTTGATACCGAGTTGTGTTGTATAAAACTACTCAGGCAGTATGTCCATCTAAACTAAATAAAAAAATAAAAAAATAAAAAATAAAAAATAAAAAATAAAAAATTGAAAAAATAATGAGGAGTTGGCCTATGCACTTGATACAAGTACTGAGATGGAATCAGAACACATGATTGATGTTTTAGAGGACCGTTGTCACTTATCCAAGAGTCTGGTCGAAAAATTGCTGATCTGTGGAGCATGACAGATATCCATGATTGTTCGAGGAGAGAGAGAATCAATAGATGTTGCAATTCTACAAGAAGCTGCTCCGTCACTGGTCCTATTTCAAGTTCTCCTCGCTCCCTTTCATATCGAAGATGTTCTAGGAAAGGTGCAAATCCCCAGGTCTACTTCGGACATGGGATTGAGGTACCAGTACATACTCTACTGTAGGCAGATTCCAAACAATGGCGATGAACTTATCAGCATAATAATTTATCAGCATTATCGATAATCTCAGTTGTATATATCCCCGGGACTGTTGAAAGTTCCGATGGTCAGAGTCGCCATGAGCCATGTATTCAAAGAGCAGGTGTAAAAGCGCGCATCAGTATGTACTATTTGTTGCTATTAGACCAAGTGAGTGTCTAATAGAAGTAGACGACTGCTTTATTCGGGTCTGTACTTGATCTACAGCACTTGTAATGTAAAGAACAGGAAGAACTGTCTTGGTAGCATTTAAGAAGATGGGTGGAACCATTTTTGAGTCATATAAACACCAAATTTGTCCCATGAACCTTCCATAGAGATGCTAGCCATCGGTAAATTGTCATTCTATGTTATAGTTCCTCCCTCTAAACCAGAGATGATGCTCCTTACGCTTTTTGCCATCGCTCCAAGCCTTGATTCGGCCAATGTTATAGATACTATCCAGGAGCCGGGAATCCTGCTTGTCAAAGATGTCAAAAAACAACTTCTTGAGTCCCTCGGTGGATGGCATTGGAGATATTTACTGAGTCCAGAGCCTCTAGGTATGATCTCTATACCAAAGGATGATACATAGAGTGTACCTATGTTACAGAACTAGTACAATTGTGAAAAAAAGTTATATATCAATTCCAAACTTGGATCTATAGTCCTCAATTGTAATAATCCATGTCACCGTAACCATTGATTGTTTTTTCATGCTTCTCTAGATCACATTGCTCTTTCTGACAACACCGCGATGAAAATCGCTAATAATGCTTGCTATGCAAGACAGAAACGAAATATAGATCTAAAAAACCCCAAACGTATCCCAAGCATGGTCATCAATAATCAATCACCTATTTGTTTTTCAGAAATTATTCATTTTACCCTTCCATCGGGGCAATTCTCCCTTCTATGATACACTAAAATTTCCCCAAGCTGCAGATTCAGGTTTTTTTTTTTTTTTTTTTTTTTTTTTTTTTGAAGATTTATTGAAAATGAAAGATAAGTCAAGAGAGAATTCCAAAGCAGAATGATAACCATTTCATGCCACAAATTAGAGCTGATATCTATGATGTCTACAACAACATTTATTTCTTACTACAAACAAATTTCAAAACACATTTCTTAACACATTTTTACCAACTGAAAAATCTAACCATACTGGACTTACAGGTGGGATATACAATCTCAGCAGACTTCATAAGCAGAAAAAAAATAAAAATATGTACAGAATATGGTACTTGAATTGGAATATATAAGAATATATATTCTTCGTTAAATCTCTAACGGTAAAAGTAGTCTTCTGGCTACTTTCTCGACGTCTGTATTGATACGGTGGCAATCTCACGTCAACTTCAACAGTCGCTCAAAGAAAATGCGTTACATTTCTCTGCAACAGCTTATTGAGGTCGAGGTGGCGTTAATCTCATTAAAACATTGAGAACATCTGGGCATGTGGGGAAGACTTGGAACAAATGAAATGTCTATTCTGCCATTTGTTGGTAAATGTATCTCAGTTGGTTATCCACAATGTTGTCACCGTCGTCGGTCTTTTCCGTCGTTGGTCTTTTCCGTCCGTCGTCACTCTTTTCCTTTTCTCTCGTCCAAATTGATACAGATATCAGACACATCAACCATGTCGATAGAAAACGAGGAGACAATCGCAAACTCCGTTCCACCTCTCCCCAATCTGAAGATCCCCGTCTCGTTCATTGTCCACCTGTTGTCAGGAAGCATGTGTTTCAGGTCGTCGTCGGAGATGGTTACAATGAGCTCGCTGGGGCTTCGGTTCTTGGGCCATCTTATCTTGTCCCTTTCAAAGAAAGGCCTTTATCGACCACGAGTAGTTGCTGATGACCAACCAAGTCGGTGACGTGACGACGAACCAGTCGGAGGCCCACATCTTGCTTCTCCCCTTAGCTGTATGATCCAAGCAAGCGGTAGACGTTCCAAATGATGTTCATCAACTTAACAGGTTGGTTAATTGATGCCATTTGCTTAACAAAAACTAGTCAATTCTTTCTCGAGCTTTCTGCGAGTCTTTTCTTGTTGACGTGACACAAGTGTGAAGTAAATGCTGCTTCCTGGTAGCTGACTCTCAACCGTTGGCGACAGTCGAGACGCATTTCCACGAACATTGATGAAATGATGGACACAGGAATACCCCATTTTCACTGGCTGCTTTGTAGGTCGAGCCGGTCCTGATGACCTCAACACTGGCCCTGTAGAAGTGGTGCTGCGAAGATCGCCTCCGCTTCTTCCCTTTCGTGTTTTGACCATGACTAGTGATGAAAACATGTGTTGGAGGAATACCTTTCTACTGGTACAGTATGTACTGTAGTGGCAATAGTAATGTGCAAACAGCTCCTCGTCTGTAGCATCACTAGCGGAATGTGTCAAATTCAGGGATTTGTGAAAAGAACTCGTTTCAAGACGACTATCCCTTGAGTAGGACGTCACAGACTCAGGATACGAGTGTAATGTATATACTGTGCTCATACAAGTCCTTTTTTTTTTTTTTTTTCGTTTTCCCCTCAAAAAAAAAAAAAAAAAACCTGTCGTTAAAGAAGGTATTTACTGGAAGAACCCCCACAGCTATTTGTACCTCATCCCAGACTCGCAAAAACTCAACAACACTCACCTGACCTTTTCCACCGTTATTTACAGTGGGGATGTAGAATTAAGATTACCAACAAAAACCAGCTGAAAACTGTTAAGTAGAGTGAGTAATTAATGAGACACCTTGAGATTTCCGTTAAATCTTATATGAAGGATACGGAACACAAAAACAATGACATGCTCTCATGCTGAAATAATTATATATAGATTTAGTTGAATATTAGTAGATGTACGACCAATATATGATCTTTTCCAAGAAATCTGTTGAGAACATTTAAGCTATAAACAAATTGTTGAGTAACCTTAAAAGGTGTGCCATAAGCTTGCGGTGCCATAAACTTGCAAGATAATCAGGCCACTTTTAACAGATAATCAGGCCATTTTCACGAAGCTTATTTCATCGGGCATAAAACAACACCAGAGATATATTTCTGATGTTAGCGTTGATAATGCAGGGACTAATGAGATGAAAACTTTAGTATGCACTACTTCGAACCCAAAAAAACGATATCGTCGAAGTTGGAGTTGAATGGAGTCGAATTCGCGGTTTTATATAATCCATCTTGATACGATCCCCGCACGTAAAAATCAGGCCATAATTTAAGGTCGCATGTTAGCTATAGCTTAATTGTCTGTTTGTGTAATATAAATATACCCCCAATTTCTAGATTCTCCAGAATCCTCTATTCATGTTAACCATCATCGCCAAGAATCCGCCAAGTACGTGTTTCGTCTCGAACACTGAAAAAGACGGCTTCTTTTTGTCGCCGGCTAAGAAAGAGGCGGCTTGAGTGAGTATTTATGCTTTCTTCCGTTCGACTGGCACCACTGGGGACTTTTTGGCACCGTTGTGGCGCAAATCGGGTGTTTGTGACACAAACAGCTCGACACACGACATCACACAACGTCATGGGATACCTTGATTTCATTACATAGGTCCATGACACTGCAACTACAGACACTGTCTCGATCACCGACCACGCTTTTCGACGACTGATACCCACAACCAAGCCATGTGACACAAACACGACACTAAGTGACACAAACGCGACACAAAAACGACACAAAAACGACACAAAAACGACACAAAAACGACACAAAAACGACACAGGCAAACAACACACTACAGGTATCTATGTTTCCAGCACCTTGATCGCCGTCCAACCAAGTGTCTCAACTACAAGAGGAGTCCCCACAGTTGCCATGTCTTCTCCACCACATTTTTTCAACTTACTAACACAGATGGGCGTCCTACGATCTAGTTACTACCATAGGTAGAGCTAGTCATAGACGGGTGCTTCCCGAAGAGCTATGAGCCAAACGACTGCGTCATCCGAGGGTGTCGGATAGGCACCAGTCAGGCCAGAGTCTCCAGGGGGGCATCTCAATCCCAGGGAGGAATTTACTTTGTTTACAGGGAGGGTGTGCGTTAACCATACCCAGGTTCCAAGCATGCTATGAACTCAGGGACAGAGTCTCATAGGGAGTGCCCCGGAAAACCCGTGTCTACTGACGATTTTCGTCTTTAGACACGACGCTACAACCCAGTCAGTTTCAAACCAACTTGCAATC